TTAACCACATTTAAATCGATGATCTTGTTATTACACGCACATTTTGAGCCATTCAACAACCACACCAGCCAAGTGCCAGCTCAATGAGCATCGGAGGTAAATAAACAAATGTTATTGTCGAAAAATAAAAGTACGTATATGTATATATATATATGTATATGTATATCTGACATATTATATTTATGTATATATATATATATGCAGATTCTTTTGGCTCCCAGAGACTGTGAACGATGTTGAAGAATGCCAGGCAACGACGAAGAAGAAGAATCGACTCTCCAGTAGCACTTGAATATTTTGAATATATGTATAATATTGTAATAACTCAAGTGTCTACACAACAGAAGCGCCTCTCAGCGCGTCGCGTCGCCAGCAACTTTAGCACTTAAGTTGAAGTCTGAAGCGCGTAAAGACGAAACAGTCCGTCAGTATTTCAGTTTCAGACAGCCTCTGGTTCGGTTTGGGCCATATTTGCTTATGATAATTTGAGAGCAAACAGCGATCGACAGTGGAGCACACACAGAGGCACACAATGGCTATGAGGAAAGGTAAATCTTGTCTCGCCATAGGTCGTGAATGTGCAGAAAAACAATACAAAAAAGCGAAACACACGATTAAACACCTCTCAATTATATACACATATGTAAATACCAATACACTTATATATATATATATATATGTATTTATATATATATACCTGTGGGGTCTCTCGAACTGCGAGTGTGTGTTTCGGGTGTGCGGGCCTACGTGAACCATTGAAAGCTGCTAAGTGGGCTGCTGTGGGCCATTGTAGTAGTAGTAGTAGTCGCCTAGACACACGGACCCACATGATTATGATGCCTTTGGCCACTAAGCTTTTATTTCTTAGCTGTCCCTCCAATCGCTACTGGCGGCTCTGATTTTGCTGCTCTTCACAAGCGGGCTACACCCTGTAAGCAATGTGTGAAATGTGTAGCTATAACTTGTCTTAATGTTGTATAGATTTAATATAGGCAAAGATACAGGTTTTACCTCTGCGCAAGTTTAAAATGAACTTTAAACAATTACGTTTTAGATCATTTTTGCTGAAGCATATCAGAATTACTCATATTTTCATTACGTCTGTATTTGTCTTAAGAATGCGATTGATCAAAGAATACTGGCTTCAAAGCAAACAACTCGACATCAGACAGGACTAAGATCAGGGCAGGTAATTCGCCAATATATGATATTAAAATCTTACAATAGGGTATCACTCAATCGGGCAGTGGCAATCGATAATTGATATTTTTGTTATTTGTTGACTTGTTGCCTTGCTGCCTTGTTGTTGATTGAGTCACTTAATTTGCATACAAAAGTAGATTTACATGCCAGCCAGACAGTCGAGCGTCAACAAACAAGTAGTCGCCGGCCGTGTCAGCAGTTTGGGCCAACTTCGCAGCGTCCTCATCGTGTTGATGCTGCAACAATAATGAAGCGTCGTCGAGTGCAGAGCTGTTAATAGTCGTCTATGGAGGCGCTAGGGGCTTGTTCAAATAACAAAAATTCAATGTATGTGAGCAGCTAAAACTTTAAATCAATAAATTTTGCAGCGGTTCGCTTAATGATCTGCGATGTAGAAAAAAATGGGCATAAATACTAAATGGCTTGCAGTCAGTATTTTCCATGGAAAATTACATTGGCTTATGCTAATTTTAATTTGAATAGCCGTGCGAGAATAAATGCTAGGGCATCCAAATCGAAGGCTTACTTACCAAGGTTACATAATAACTAAGAATTCTCATAAATACGCAATGTTTTCTAACCTAATCTAAGCATATCTAAGTTCTTATATATTATAATGTAAATATTGTTTAATAACAACGTTTATGGAAACAAAGTATTATCGAAAGATAAGTTCTTGTTCTTTAGGGATGCCTCATAACATTCCACAGCCAACATCCATGTAAAAACCAATTTGTTTTGGTCATTGATTAAAAAAAAGGAATTTATTTTGGTAGAAAATCCTCTGCCACGTTTATCAATGCTAAAACCGGCCATGTTTTGGTATTGAATTTTACCTTACCTTTTCCCTGTGAAATTATCAAGTCAAGTATCATGTCAAGCATGCCTTAAAGATAAATTCCATATGTAGGAATAGCAGTTAATGTGCTCCTGGCTGAGTCAACTGTTTGGAATGTGGCAAAGATAGGAAAAATGCTACCTGTTGGACCAGCGATACCACCCCCGAAAAAAGCGGAAGTAAACCGAAGAGCATTAGTCAAACAGCAGGCAGATCATTTTGAGCAACACCAATTAGCTTAGTGCTGACAAATTGCACAGCTATTGGCGTGGCTTGGACACAGGTAGCTAGACAGATAGAGGGAACCGAACCTTTTGGCTAATTGTCATTGCCATTGCCATTGCATATGCATTTGTGTGTATGGAAAGAGGAACCGGAAGCGTGCGCGACCAAATGTGAAAACGCGAGGCATAAATTAACGCAGACCCATATCCACATCCACACACACACACACACACGCACACACATATTGTGTGCATGGATAGAGGGTGCAGACACGGCACGTAATTTGGGCGAATTGCCAATGCCAACAACCAACAACCAACGGAGAACCCACTGCTAATTGTAAATTAATTTCCATCGCTTATCGCCGCTGGCTGCCACAACACAAAACAAAGTGGATGTGTCAGCCAGCAAAGTGCTGTGTAAATTAGCTTGCAAAACTATTTGCTCGACAAACTCAAGAATTTCGCAGTAGTGCAAGAGGCAAGCCGCAGATAAGCAGCCAAAGCTAGCTGTTTACCAGCTATTTAACTACTTGAGCCAGCCTAACGGAAGTGATGATGTTTATCCAAAGATTGGAGCTGCAATATTTACCAAGTAGCTATACCCAAGACATTCTGGCTCTAGAAAGCGAAAGTTTTCCAGTAGCGCACATCGCACATCGCTGCGTATACTTAATGAGAAGTCAGAGTTCAATCTGACTTAATTGCTTTCCAATCGAGGGTATAATGGTTAAGCATATAGATTAAGAAACATAATAAAAGTAGTTTGCATACATACATTTTTCTTTACGATCTTATAATTATCAACTCAAAAAGGTCAACACGATATGCATAATAAAAAAATTGCCTAATCAAACAGAATTTTAAATGGTTGTATCTATGATAAAATGGAAGAGTCTGCTTAATTTATCGCTTTTTTCATTTTATATCTTTATTAACAGTATTCTTGTTTAGTTTACAGTTTGACATATATAATGCTTATTGTATTTAAACATAAAATTATCCATGATCCGGAATACTGAACGGTTTCGTTTACTGAATGACAATATTTTTAGTTATACGCTAATGATTTAATTGCTAATAGCTTTGTTTAACATTTAAGCTTACAATGAGGAATACATTATTCATTGCATTCCTACTTCGGTGTGTACATTATTCATGAATAGTTCAGAGTTCGATTCGAAGCACCCATTGGAATAATAACAAGTAACATGCTCATCTGAATAAGATGGAATCGAATGGTCAGAAAATTTGTAGACGACATGCCTTTCCGTAAGTTAACAAATGTTTTGTCAAGCTCGAAAAGGGCCGATCGAGAAGATAAAACATGCGAAAGAAGAAGATCAATTAGAAGAAGATGGTAAGAGTAATACTGTCATCAACCAGCTGCATCTGCAGTGTTTCGACTCCATATCGGGGATACATGTATATATGTATGTTGGCCGCCATATCAATGCCGCCGAATGACGCAGCGTCAAAACCAAAATCAAATAAATGAACAGCAAAACGGCAGCCACAACAACAACAACAACAAAAACTCCAACTAAAGACAAGAGGACCACCATGATGGCAAAGGCTACAAATGGGCAAAGTATAAATAAGTATAAAAAAAAGATGCCAAATGAAAAAACAAATCGAAAAAGAAAAAAAACTAAAAAACAATTTCGATCATGATGTATAATTAAAAGGCAACACCAACACACACACACACACAGATGGGGGAGCATGTGGTTGTCTGTTTCAGCTGGAACGGCTGCTGACTGTGCAACTTCGCACTTCAAAATTAAAACACAATTAGAAAGACGGAGAGGTAGCGACAGCGAGGGAGCGAGAGAGAACGACAGATCGAACAATAGAGAGCGAGAGAGCGTGCCAGCGATCGATATGTTGAGGGCGGAGCTAAACACTGTGTGAAAACGTATTTGCAGCTGGTGTCAATTTCAAAATGGAGGCGCCAACAAAGCGAGCGAGTGCTCCGTGACAGACAGAGATGGAGCTATAGCCAGCTAACGGCAAAGCGCTCTCACTCTGGCTGCACGTGCACAGCGAGTCGCCAGCCAATCAGAGTGCTGCTGCTAAGGGCAACCTGCAGAGGAGACAGACAAGAGGCGAAGATCTCAGCTGAGCAGCTGTGCAGCTGAGCAGTTGAGCAGCAGCTCAGAACTGATCGCAGGTAATGTCGATCAATGGCTCGAACTCGTCAAGCTCGTTTTTCGCTGAGCGACGGCAACGGCAACGGCGGCGGCGGCGGCGGCAGCCACATTTTGTGAAACTTGCTCAGTTGAAATGCGAACTTGGCGAGCGCAAGACGCGAGCGTCGGTAAAAAAAGAAAAGAAAACACTGAGATCACCGAACACCGATCACCGATCACCGGTCACCGATCACACAATACCCGATTCCAATTCTCCCAGCTGCTGCGATGTAGTTGTTGTCATAATCAAATTAACACCCACACGCCTTTGAGACATTTGCCATAACTACGCCACTTTGGTAGTTGTGATTTACATATTTTTTGACGCTAATTGCGAATTCAACTCGTGCCCGGGGCACACATGAAGACAACAGTACTGGGCACTCTTGTTGTCACCTTTCGCTTATATGTGTTTTGTTGTTGTTGTTGTTGCTGCTGCTGTTGCTACTGCTGCTATCTGTGATTGAATTGTGTGCCAAAAAAACAAAAAATAAGTTAAACAATTGTTAAAGTGTGAAATATTCATACATACTTATAATCACCATGATCACCATGAACGAGCTCGTCGATCTGCGCATGCAGCAGCATATCGCACACGAGATTTATCGCCAGCAGATAATGCAACGCATACCGGGTAAGTAATGCCACTCAGCCCTCTTCTCACTTCTTGCTGCACATATTACGCATACGTCACGCGGTCAATGCGATTGCGCCATTTTGTCATCGCCGTCGGCATTAATCGAAAAGCTGCAAAGCTGTAAAGCTGTTAAGGATCATTAGCGTTAATGGTCGCTACTTTTGTCTTTGCCACAATGTGCACTTTATTCGATTCGTAACCGGATATCAGCGGGCGATATTGTCGATCTTAACGTATATTTTATGACGATCGTCACATCAAGCTGAGTAATGTGAGAAAGCTCTTTGGCCGGCTTTGCATAAGCCAATTGCGGGAGATCACAGCAGGCGCTATCCGGGGTGGTAATTGATAACAAAATGCGCTTCAGCTGTTGAGCAGCCCATAACACAGCGGGATAATCACATATTTGCATCTACATATAATTAAAAGAAGAAGTTTTTTATCTTAAAATCAAAAATGATCGGCAAATAGTCGAATCATCGCTTCTGCTGCTTAAATACCTGCATTTTATGGCTCAGATGTGCTGCTTATCATAAACAATATTTTTATATTAACAATATTAATCGGCTATTAATATTCTAATGGTAGTTCAAGCATTTTAGCCAGCTATATATCGGCTCTTATATGCAACTTAAAATAACTTCTTTAAATTTATATTATATCTTTGAGGCTTAAGCATATATATTATATATATTATAAAACAGGGTTTTATCTGATATCCAGTTCGACTCATTTATAACTCATAATTTGCTATAAAATTAATTTTTATCTGCTTGCATATTTTAGAAAGGTTAAAATCTGATTTCAGAACTGTTGTCGCTTCTTAAAAATAATAACATTTTTAATATATATATATATATTTCATGTCAAAATGTATACAAATCACACTCATTATAGATCCATTTCCACCGATGCTGCCCATACCAATGCCCCGTCACGTGATAATGCCGCCACGTGTCTCATTGCCCGGCGTGGATTTGACGCTGCAGAACGACGAGCTCTGGAAGCAATTCCATCAGATTGGCACCGAAATGATCATCACAAAGAGCGGCAGGTAAGAACTGGATGACAAAATGCATAACTTTGAAACAATTTAATTGTGCGGAATGTATTTTTTTTTTTAGTCACTGTTTGTTCTGTAGATTGATTCCGCCATTAAAATAACATTCCTCTTTCAATATCCCTGTGATGGGAACTTTTCAAATGTAACTTAAAGGGAATTGGGTGCTAAGATCGCGCGCAGCGAGCAATGCATTAGCAGGAACATGAAAAGTAATACCCGAAAAAAATGCTGGGCAAAGAAAAAAGAACAAAATGCCAAATGGTGTTGGCACTTAAAGCGCCGCAGCATTGTGAAGAGTGGCCAGCGACGGCGTCAGGCCCTTCAAGCACTTAGGCTCAGCTTCATTCCTCAGTCTCTGTCGCAGTCACAGGCTCGTCTTCATCCTCATCGTCGGCGGCGTCGGCACTGTTAAATGCTCATTAGATGTAGGCGCCTGCGAAATTGTTTACAGCGGCGTCGCGACAACAATTTTCACAGGCAAACAATGCGACGGAAGGATGCAGGATGTGAAATATTGTGGACAGGTATAGGACTGGCTCTGGCTCTGGCCCTCGACAGGCAGCTAGCTAGTTAGCCAGAGTGATTGCAAAGTGCACAATCAAGGCACGGATCACATCGAATATCTCGCGCGAGGCGTAAAATGTACAAGTTCACTGGCACTTTGCACATTGCGTGCATTGCGGAAAAATGTACATGAAACATATCAAAGTACTGCAGCGCAATCGCCCAAAGATATCTTGTATCTTGTAGCTTGTATCTCAGTAGTAGTCGTTGTAGTAAACTACCTAAAAGTGTCCGGCACTTGCTCAAATGTGCGTAAAGTGGCGTCATCGTAATTTATTGAAGACCTAGTATGGACACAGAACACAGTGGGACGTCCTTTTGGTCGGCTTTTTTCACAGAGAGACAGAGAGCGAGAGAGATAGAGAGAGAGAGTAAGAGTAAAGATGCAACTTGGCTATGACCTGCCGCTGCTGCTGCTGATGTCGATACTGCTGTGGCATAAATCTTAGCGTCAAGGATACTTTGTCGTCATCTTTGTTGCTTTCGGCGTTTTTATTGTGGCGCCTGTCTGCAGACATGCCTCAAAAGATATACACACATTCGTATTCCTTTTCGTATTCGTATTCAATTTCTGTATCGGTATCTGCACGTTGCACGTTGCGCGTTGCGCGTTGACAATGACCACAGCTTGTCGACGACGTCAACAGATACGAGCAATTTCACACTTTTGCCGGCGAGAGATGCACATGTGCCGATAAGATCGGATAGAGAGAGAGAAGAACACAGAGCAGCAGCAAAAATATTAACATAAAGTTTTGGGGACCTCAAAAAACAGAAGAAGAAAAATAAAACCAAAAACTGTTTAGACTGGCAACTCTTTCTCCTTGCGACTCGTGTGTATGTTTTTTGTTGCATATATGGCATGAATTATTCATAGAGTCTGCGTATTAAATAGTTTTTATGCCCATCAAAAATGTTTTATGTGAAATGCAGCCAGACAATGACCGCGACTCTTGTGCGTGCAATCGATTTGAATTTTTAATGATTAGGCGCCACAGTGCCACCGTATGCTGTACGCGACTCTCCAATGCTCCAATGCTGTCCCAGAACGCCAAGTGGCGCTCATAAAATCTAATTAGTTGCTTGGCCCCACTCACTGTTCTCTCTATCTCTCTCTCTCTCTCTCTGCCTCTGTCTCTCTGAAACTCTATTAGAGATCGCATCGGGTTTTTGGGATCGCATGGGTGGCAAATGCACAGACGACCATTAAAGCCAGATGGAACAAAGCATATCACATATAATGCCATGCATTTTTCCCAAATGAAATGACTCTGTCACGAAGCTTTTAGTGCGCGGCTGAGAATTGTTGGGCCGATGTGGAAAGTAATGAACTGAAATACTGAATCTGTTCCGCAGCGTAATACAGGTGAATCATTTTAAAGCGTCAGTTGCTGACACTTTGAGGTCTATCTGAAGGAATCAAAGGGTTAAATGTGTAAGAATTTCAGAGAAAATCAAATAAATAGAAGCTGAAGTCTATTTTCTCAAGACTAAGACAATGCAGTCAGATGTTGGGTAACTTGAAATTGGATGTATCTATTTAGCTGGTATGTTGTTATTTTTGATGTAGTTTAGCAGGAGTAGATCTATAGCCCTTAGTTGAGACGTTGTTTGAATAATTATGAATCCATACAAATATTTTATATGTTACGAACTGATTGGTAAACCTCCGATCTGTTCAGAGTTCTGATAGATAGATCATTAGTTATTGTAAGGTTTTCGATTCGTTAAAAGACCTTACCCAAGCCAAAAGTTGAATAAATAAATATCGTAATCTGAATCTGAAAAGAAAAACATCTTCGAACTGCACCTGCCTGGATGCCAATACGAATGCTGTGAAATGCTCGAGATACTTTTTGTTTGGCTTCCATCGCCGATGCCCGGCACAGATCCTCACGATTTGTTAATTATGCGCAGACGCGCCAAAGATCGATATCTTAACAAATCGTTTGTCAAAAATGCAAGAGCAACTTTTCAAGAGCAACAAAAAAACAACAAAAAAAACCGAACACGACCCAAATAAAAGAAGGCAAATTGAAAATGAAATTCTAAACCGCACGAATGTCGAAATATTTGGCCATGCGTCGCTGTTAGCCCCTGTTGCGGTCTAATGGAATTCAAGAAACCAGAAAAGGAATTAAATTAAATGTAGGCAAACGCAACGCAGTCGAGTTAAATTAATTAATCATCGCGCACAGGCACAGCCAAAAACAACAGCAACAACAACAAAACATTAAAAACACAAAATCATTGCCAAAAAAAAAAAAATCCAAAAAACAAACAAAAAACAGAATAAGAGTCTCTAAGCAAGCAGAAGCAACTCGAAGCAGAGCGCAAACATTTTCAGGCTGGCGCCAAGAGCGCTGACCACCTGCTGTGCCACTCTCTGTGGCACAGGGTCGCCGTTCCTCCGATCTTCGATCCTTGTTAGCACAGCGCAAACGCAAACGCAAACGCGACCGCGTTTTCAAATTGTAGACAAGGCCTTGCCTTTATTTGTTTTTTTTTTTCCTGCAATCTTCCTTTTTAGTTTTTGGTGCATAGGTTTGCCTAGGCTAATTACATGGCCAGGCACACAATTAAATATTTGTAACGCCCACTATTATTTCCATTTCTCTGCTTTAGCTTGTTGACTTTATTTGAATTTGATCCATTTTCCATCTCTCTCTCTTTCTTTGTGTTGCAGACGCATGTTTCCCTCGATGCGCTTGAGCGTTTCAGGCCTGGAGGATGAGACGAACTATTGTGTCCTGCTGGAAATGGTGCCCATTGGCGACTGTCGCTACAAGTTCTCCGGCTCGCAGTGGGTGCCAGCTGGCGGTGCCGAGCCACAGAGTCCACAGCGCATGTATCTGCATCCGGATAGCCCGGCGACGGGCGCCCATTGGCAGGCCCAACCCATACTGTTCAACAAGGTGAAGCTGACGAACAATACGCTGGACAACAGCGGTCATGTAAGTAATTCGAGCGGTGATGTGCCCCGAACTTCAAAGCCAATGCGCTCAGTTGCCAATGAGAGATATTTCATGCTCCGCTTTCTGCTGCCCTCCTTTCCCCACCCCGCTCTGTTCGCAGATTGTTTTGGCCAGCATGCACAAGTATCAGCCACGTTTGCATGTCATACGCACCGCTGATCTGGCGCAGATACCTTGGGCGCCGCAGCAGGCTTTTGTTTTTGCCGAGACGGAATTTGTGGCAGTGACAGCGTACCAGGTAAGTTGCAAACACAACACAGAATACAGAGAGAAAGAGAGAGAGTGAGAGTGAGAGCGAGAGAGAGACCAGATTGTTGCCAATTCATTGAACAGGGCACACTAATTGGTTAATTTGGGCAACGATCGCTCACGCCGTGGGTAGCCTGACCAACGTCTCAAATTAGCATGCAACGCCCCTTGTCTACAAAAAGTCACTTGAGTAGTTTGTTGCTTGTTATTTTAGGAAGTTGTATAGCCACATCCTTGTTGTGCCCGCTTGCTGTGTTTTTGTCTATGTCTAGGGCCCATTGACAGCGCCGTCAGGTCGCCAGTAGACAGTCGTCGGTTGTCCGTCATTAATCTTTCGTGCGTGATCACATCCACAAAATCATCGTCACAAAGTTGTCAAGTCATGACGACTCCAAGGCTCAAGTGTGTGACTCTCTCTCTCTCTCTCTCTCTCTCTCTCTGTCTCTCTCTCTCTCTCTGTCTCTCTCTCTCTCTGTCTGTCTGTCTTTCTCTGGTGTCAAGTGGCGTTGTTACTTAACGCTTAGCTACTGACCAGCCAGCAATTGTCATATTTCATGCAATTTACAACAACTGGCTTATCCTTGTTCCACAGAATGATCGCATCACAAAACTGAAGATCGACAACAATCCGTTTGCGAAGGGCTTCCGCGAAACGGGACAATCGCGCTGCAAACGCAAAATGTCTTCATCGCCAACCGATGATGATGATCAAGATCAGACGCATTCGCATTCGCATTCACAATCCTCCGGTTCGCTTGACATGTCGCCAGGCAAATCTACAACGACAGCCGCCGCCGCAACAGCAGCAGCAGCAGCAGAAGCAACAACATCGAACAACAGCGAACAGGATGGGCCGCAAATTAAGCGCCTGAGATCAAATGGTTCCGCCTGTTCGTTATCGTCATCGCTGGACGAGGCTGTGCCTCTGCCTCTGCCACTGCCTCTGCCAGTGTCGGCGGCTGGCGCCAACTCGATTGGATTGCCTCCCGGCGCCAACAGCACGTTCATGCAGCATTTTCAGCAGAACATGCAGACACTGCTGCGACCCTCGCTGGTCGATCTCGCATGCACATACTTCGGCCGGCCACCACACGAGTACAATGCTGCCACAGCATCCACATCGCATTTGTATCCGCCAACGTCCATTTTGCATACGGCATTGCCCACACTTCCGGCACTCACCCTACCCCACAGCGTATCCGTTCAGCCAACGGATGAGACGACATCTGATGAACTGGAGCTAGATGTTGGCAGTGAGACTACAACAACAACAGCAACAACAACACATTCACCACTCGAACAGCAACAACCGCCCGAGGCACCCACCAAGCGTAAAGGTTTCAGCATATCTGCCATTTTGGGCGGTCGCAGCTAGTTGCAAAAGATACATTTAAGTTTCTCTAGTTGTAGTTATTGCCTTTGATATTATAATAGTGTACAAGTGTAAGCTGAATTTCGCCTGATTACTTCATAAGTTAATTTAAGATTCACATAATTAAAAACATCGCTATAAGAGATATGCATCAATTTTTGAATTATTTATTGTGGAACTGAAATTTTGATTGGCATAAAAGATAAACGCTTGTCTTTTTAATTTGGAGTTTGATTGTAGTTTTTTTGAAAACCCCTTGGCATTATTATTAGCTGCAGCAGCTCCTAAGAATTTGAGTATAGACATGCGCACATCGCCCATTACATTTATTTTTTTGGCTAATTGGCAGATCTTAAGGATACTTCAAAGCCAACACGCCCACATACTTTGCTGTAGGTAAATGAACATGTAGCAGCAGTCAGATTAGGGCATTTTTATCATTGGTCCAGCATCTAACTGCCAGCCAGCCAGCCAGCCACAGCCAGCAGATAGATACATAGAGGCAACACACAGCACAAATCACAACTTCCGCTAGACATTAATCCCAACCAATTTACAAGATAAACGCTAGAATTTCGACAACATCATCAGCCGCCGAAGACGACGCCGACGAGGCAGCAGCAGCAGCAGCATCCATCCATTAGTTGCACAGCGACTGCGACTGCGACTGGCCAGAACATAATTTGTTTGCAATTAAATAGCTCGACAAGGCATGAAATTCGGTTGCAGCCCAACGAAAGGCAAACAGTTGCAGCACTGTGGCACACAGCACACGGCAGAATACTCCGGAGACCCATAATGGCTAAAGATGTTTATGAAATGGGCAGAGACTGAGACGAACAGAACAGCAGCAGTCAAAAAAGAAAAAAACAACAACAGACACAATTTTAGTTATGTAAGCTGCTGCTGCTGCTGCCGCTTGCTAGTTGAGAATGTAGCCAATGATGAAGTTTACGATGACATGCGTCACCACCCACGTCTGAAGTCAAGAGACGACGACGACGACGTCGAGGGAGGCGTGTGCAGACGTAGTCTCTACCCAGCAAAAACAAAAATACAGAAAAAAGAAACAACAAACAACGAACAACAATTTCAATTTACCAACAAATCGATTTCTAAATTGTAGTCGCCAGGGAGCAGCAGCGGACTGCGGTTTTATAGCGCACAGAGATGGAGAACGGGTGACAGATGTCGTTCTCGATGTTTGAAGGCGCTGTGTTGACAGGCGCAAGGTTGTGAATTGTGTGCATTGAATGCCTCATTAAATGGCTACGGCTGCGCCTGGCAGATGTCGCAGGTTGCCCACAATGTGTGTGTGTGTGTGCGTAATTAATGCATTTGGCTGTTGCATTTTACGGCTGAGCATTGTTGCCCCATGAAATTAGATACACTTGCAACCAATTTTTGTTGTGTAAACACAAAATGGGGAGCAGCCCAGAACGAACGAGCGAATGAACAACAATGAAACCATTACGAGTTCCTTAATGAAAGTTAATTACTTGAAGCGGTGAGTAGCAACAAAAACAAGTGCTAATGAGTGAAAAGTGTTTTACGCGTGGCAGACACCATTTGCTCAAAATGGCTGACAATTCAAATTGTGCGCCATGTGTCAAATAGTAAGCAGTGTTGTAAGCGCGCCATGCAAAAAGTTTATAATGCAATTACCGAATACACAGAGAGAGAGAGAGAGAGCGATGCCAGTGTTGTCATTGTAAATTGTTGGGTCTTGTTTCAATGAAAGGATTAGAAAGAACAAGACAAGCGCACAATGCGCTGGTACTTGAGTTTATATTGTTGCAAATATACATATTTGGTAGCAAGGAGAATGCAACAAAGAACCGATATAAGGCTTCCACAGCGTCGTGTCGCCGGTGCCAAGCCATAAAAATGAAACTGATCATAATCTACATGCATATGTATAGACTTGGACCTCTCCCTTCCTCCTGATCAAGCATAGTCCTAAGCCGAGATTTTAAACTGGAGCGCAGCCAAACCCACCAAGCAGTTTATGCAAATGGGCTCACATGTGAGCCAGATCAGAGCAATGGCCCGAGTCGGGTCGGGGCTGGGACAATTAACAAAGCGTGTAATTTTTCAAACGTAGCGTGTGAACAATGGCACAAACAATTACAGGATAATGAAAATCCACCCACACATGCAGGCCAACAGAAAGCGGCCCATGCTTGACCCATGCGTACAGCAAATCCCTGAGAACAGCTAAAGCGAACAACGACAACAACGTTCAACAATGCGGTCAAGTGCGCGTCCTGCGCTCGTTTTTGTTCGCTTTTGTTTACAAGCCTATTGAGTGCAAACTGCAGCATTATTTAAGTTCTCCTGCATAATTTGCATATTACTCTTTTGTCCCTGCTCTTTTACCTGCACAGAACTAACCACAAAGAGCAACAACAATAAGGGTGCACCAAATTGGTTTATCGGAAATGTAAGTAGATCGCTCGATTGACATTTTGGATATCGGTAATGCACATCAAGTGCAGCAATTCGCATAATTTCGTTGCCCCCCACTACTTTTTATTCGATCTGTCCTCTGGTGTTTATCGATAGTTCGTGGCTGTCAACCATCTCTACAATCAGCGCTTCATATTTCTTGTCCCCCAAAATGAGTCTTAATTACATAGCTGAGCAAGCGGATCCTACTGAAATTGACGATGATAACGAATCTTTTTACTCGTTCGCGCAGAGCTATTGCGATCCTTCAGATTTGGAAGATCTTTCCGACATTGAAAATATCACCGTAACCGACACACCTAAATTTGAGTTTGAGAAAGACGCTGCAATGGTAACTAATAAATATTTCAATGAAAATCTAAGACATGTAATTTATACACCACACAGAAAACAGTTCCTCGAAAAATGTCCCACACTTCTCAGACAATAGAGATTAGCAGCCCTCATGTGCTAACTCTGGATCAATATCAATTGCAAAAGTCGCCGCCTACCCGCAAATCATTCGAAAAATGCCATCATCTGGTGTATCAGTCGGCTGCAAGTTCTCCAATGCCTGCTGTGGAATTATTCAACATGGATGCACCGTCAACTGGGAAGTTAACACCGAAAGATCTGCTCGAAACAAGTCACAATACGGCTGCCTTGCAAAAGGCTGCCTTTACCAAGATTTGGATTGGATGTCAGCAGAATTGTCTACAAAGCAATCGTTCAGTCAAACGCGAATTTGCAGACGCTTTAGATGATTATTTCAAAGATGATAACATCGAACAATTCGAGAATCTGTCGCTGCAGGAGCAGCACAAGGGAAACGCTAATAGGCAGCTATTTGTGGCGACAACCAATGTAAAATCATACAGTATACAATGCCCAAAACTTGTATTAATCATTTACTCTTTACAGTCAGGAGCCGACTCAGCTAATTTCCAGACCGTTCCCGAATCGGAGCCGTATGTGTCGCCCTTTGACGACATGCCAGTGGCGCCCAAAGAGAAAGTGTTGCCTGGCCTTAAGCCATACATTGTTGTGCCCGCCGGCTTCGATTTGACAAACTTGGTGGAGTACAAGAATCCCAATCACTGGCATCGTCGCCGCACCACCCTTAACGATCATTTCAAGTAGTTACTTCGAAATGATCAAATTGCAAGCAGGAAATTGCATATTTGGTTGCAAGTCGCGTTTTAAGTTTATTTACATATATATATATATATATATATATATATACATAGATATTTATTAGCCTTTAAGCTGATCTTGCGCTCAAATGCTTGAATACATTTCTTATCTCGGACAATTCCCAAACAATTAAAGCCGTTGTCAGACGGACGCCGAAGACATAATATCGCCAGCGTAGCCAAAAACGAACACCATGCTGCGATTTAGAGATGGGCGCGTGTCGCGCGTGTATTTTGTAAAACATGAAAACAAATCTTAATTTGAATACTCTTTAACCCAAAAATGGAAATAGCGTTTTGATATTAACATTAAGAAAAGCATTTAATTTTATTTATGAATAAAGAAAGGGAGCATAACAGCTTGCTTCAAGTATTTTATTGTGTTTTAATTTGGTGTTTCGTGCCCTGCACGACTGCCACGGCGCCCATCTCTACTCGCAAATGATTTCATTGTGAAGCCTGATAAAATTGTCGCCAGCGAATATGTTCCATGACTTTGATTTTGGCCGCCATAACATTAATTTCCAATGAAATTACACATACAAACGAAGGAGAGCGCCGCAGCAACAACTAAACTAACAGCAACAACAACAACACACAAACAATAAGAGCAAGAGCTGCATATGGGCCTGAGACCAAATCCAAAACCAAAAAAAAGTTCGCTTATCTATGCTGAAAGATCGCGGAGCTCATTTGACTTTGACATGCGAACGTTTTTGAACCTGAGCCTAGCGCGGCTCTCGGCCTGCTTCTGCTCCTAAATGAGAATTCAATAAATTTTAGCAACTAAAAAATAAAAAACAGAAGAACAACAACAACACAATGGCCACTTTGGCGTCGTTAGTCTTTTTGGCGACGTTTAACATGAATATGCAGTGTGGCTAATGTGGAGCCCATAAACACTTCCAGCGGCAACATGAATGGCACTGCAGCCATGCAACAGATGTCCCAAAAACGAAAAAAAAAATATTAAAAAAATAAAGAAAACAGGTTGCTGCTACGTGTGCGGTGGATAAATGCCGAACGCTGTAATAGTTCGAGTTGAAGTTGGAGCAGAAAGTTGGGGAAACAGCCGCTTAACAATTGTTTCTTAACGCGATTTGAAATGAAATGCCACCGTCGAAGATTTGCAATTTGGGCACTTGGCTGCCAAACATTCAAAGATGCCGCCTCATTTCCGTTGGCCAGTTGGCGCATAAAACAAGCGCCACAAGTGGTGGTGGCATCATGTGTATGTGTGTGTATGTGTGTGTCTGTGTGTGAGGTATCCGGGCTGAGTCGGGGCAATTTTTGCATGTAAATGGCAAACAACTACAACGTGAAAACATCAATTACATTTGCTCTCTCTCCAACCATGGTTGGCGCATGGCTGGCCAGGATTACCTGGCGATCGTCGCGCTCAATCAGCGCATTGGCGCTGGCGCCAGCATTTAAGATGCGGTGCTCTCTGATCTGCTGATAAGCTTATGTTGTCGTCGTCGTTGTTGTTGTTGCTGCTGCTGCTGCTGCTGTTGTTGCATGGAGGAGAGCGAACACAGTTCGCTGGGCTGGCTGGCTCTCTGTGGATGTGGATGTGGATGAGGGTGAGCTTGAGAAGCTGGAACTGGTTTTTATGGGCCAACATGTGAGATAGATATGAGACGCAATTATGTATACAAATAATGTGAGCAAAATGAAAGAACAGCAACGAATTTCAGAAACCAAATAAAGCCACACAAAATAAGTTATAATTTATATGCAAGGTCGGGCGAGATTGTGGACTGACAGAAATTTGTCTCAAAAATGAATTAAATACAGTGAAACCCAAATAAAGAGAACTGTTCTTTAATTTTAGTTACATCCATTGGCCTGCAAATTTATTAATTGTATTAAATTCCATTTACCATTCAGTTTCGCTGCCACATTGAAAGACAACACTTTTTTTTTCGAAATTCTTATATAAAAAACTCTTTATTTGCTGGCATTGAAATGCCAGTGACAATAAATCCATTACGAAATCAGTTAAACAATTAAAATTGTATAATAAATACATAAGATAAATACTGATGGTAAATACCTGGAAATCTTAGTTAACTGCAAAATATCACAATTTAAACTTACTCTTACGACGCAAAGGCAACTAAACGCTAATTAAATGTATAAGGCACTTAAGGAGCAACAACTGAAATGGGAGCAATAACAACAGCAACAACAACAGCATCAGCAACAGCAACTGCGGCAGCAACAGAGGCAACTAAACTGAGACGGTCGCTCCTAATATGTCTAAGATACTGAAACTGCTCCGTTTAGGCTTTGACGCAACATCAATAGTGGCAGCATCAACCATTGAATCAGCAACTGCGGCAGCAGCATTGTTGTGGGTTATCGACTCGGATTCCAACTCGAACTCAGCTGTGCCAGTCGCTGTGCCCACCACATCCACAAAGGCATCGGCATCGGTATCTGGCTCGGCGGAAGACTCACAGCTACTTGAGGAGGAGGCCGAGCAGGAGGAGGAGGAGGCGCACGACGAATCGGGCGATGGCGGCGAACAGGGCCAACTTGGATAGCAGGCAATGTGTCTGGTCGATAATGAGCGCGGTGGCGGTGGTGCTGGCAAATAGAAATTGGCCTCTAGTGTATCCAGCAGATAATGCCGTGCCACTAGCATTCCAGAATGTGCCTGTTGCCGCAACGCAGGCTCTTCTGTGTGACGCAGTCGTTTAACCGACGGCGAAATGGCGATCTCCACATCGTTAGCTTCCGCTCCCACTTCCACTCTGACTTCCGCTCCTGCTGCTGCAGATGGTGGGGAATCGTCCAATTTGCGCTTGCTGCGTGATTGGCCCGACTCACGAAAGCCCTTCGCAAAGGGATTGTGATCGATCTTCAGCTTGGTAATGCGATCATTCTGCAAAAGCGCATACTTTTAGTAATTGATCAATTGATGAAGTAATCTAGTGAAATGCATACCTGGTAGGCGGTCACAGCGATAAACTCAGTTTCGGGAAACACATATGCCTGCTGTGGGGCCCAGGCTATCTGGGTAAGATCAGCGGTGCGGATGATATGCAAACGTGGCTGATATTTATGCATGCTGGCCAAGACAATCTGTTGTAAGTGAGCCAAAACACATCATTAGTAATTATAGAGCATTCCTTAAGAGTCGATTACACTTACATGTCCATTGTTGTCCATTGTGTTATTCGTAAGCTTCACCTTGCTGAAGAGCAGCGCCTGGGATTGCCAATGTTTGCCCGTTGCCGGGCTATCCGGATGCAGATACATGCGTTGGGGACTCTGTGGCTCGGCACCACCAGCTGGCACCCATTGTGAGCCGGAGAACTTGTAGCGACAATCGCCAATGGGCACCATTTCGAGCAGGACACAATAGTTGGCCTCCTCCTCCAATCCGGTGAACGAGACACGCATCGAGGGAAACATGCGTCTACATAAACCATAATAATAAAATGAAGCAATCGTAATGGTGGTAAGTGACTTATGTGATCTCATTCTTTAGCTTATCTTTGTCGAGCTCTGCATGCCATCGTTATGTGAACGAGATAAGCTGGTGTAAAGATAGACTAAACAAATGATATGCGGACCCACATACCTGCCACTCTTTGTGATGATCATTTCGGTGCCAATGTGATGGAATTGTTGCCACAGTTCATTGTTTTCCAGCTTGGCCTCCACGCCCGGCAACGATGGCTGCGGCGGCGGCGGTGGTGGTGGTGTGTGTGCCACAAAATGTGACGCAAAATGGGGCAATAAGCCGCATAGTGGATCTGAAAGAAATTCTCGATGTTAAACCCGTCGGCAAAAGCATAGATAAAAATGTATTTATTCAGTTTACCTGGAAGACGCTGCATCATTTGCTGGCGATAAAAATCATTGGTGATCTGCTGCTGCATGCGCAGTTCCTCAATGTTCAGCAGTGCCAACATATTTAACTCAAATTATTAAACACTTAACTAAATGAGTTCGATTCGATTTTTTTTTGTATTTTTTTTTTTTAAATCACCCAATCTCGTTATTTATAATATATGCTTTTTCGCGCTGCCGCAAACGAAGAACTGCTCGCTTCGCTGTTCAGATTGAAACTGTTGCGCTCTGAAAATTCGTGTGCACTAATTTAATTCCAGCAGAATCCGGTCGGATCAGTTTTTAGGCTCTCAGGTAGAGGCAGCTCAGCGACCAGTTTCTCAGTCTCTCAGTCTAATCTACTTCCAGTTTGCGCTCTCTCCCAACTGCAGCGTTGGCATTGGTCGCTGCTCGTAGTGTGTCTCTTGCCGTCTCGCTCTAGCCAATGAGTGCGCCATTTTGAGGCAGTTATTCGTTGCGGGGGCTTAGTAATGGGCGCCCATATTCATATTGATAGCATTAATTACATTGGGGCCATCTCTTTGAACCCGAATACATTACGGTATTTAGATGGAATGCATATGGAAATGTTTGTTTGTTTTTCTTCTTCGATTTGGCCCAATTCATAATAGCCTATTCGCTTAAAAGACTTTTTAGAGGCTTTATTGAAATTTATACATGATTATGATAAGTATTTTATCGAATTAGATAGACAATGCCAAAAAGGGGCTGAGATTCGAATTGGTTTTGAGTGTTAAGAAATACAAATTATTATACTAATATCTACAAATAATAATAAATATAGTATTATTATTTTAGATACCATGGTTAGTAGAGATAAATTCCTTTGTTTTTTGTTCTCAAACCTTTTAAGTTTTCGAATAAAAATAGCTTGCCAAGCATTGTTTCAATTGTGTATTGCGTGTGTTAAGAAATGCAAATTATTAAACTGATATCTACAAATAATAATAAATATGGTTAGTAGAAAGTAATTCTTTTGTTTTTTGTTCCAAAACGTTTCAAGTTTTCCAATAAAAATCCATTACCAAGCATTCTTTCAATTGTGTATTTAGAATGCCACTTTCACTTAGTAAAATCCCACATCCTTGATATCCCATCTAGAGAGTTCTCATATACAATCGACTGATCATCTCACATGTGGTTGAAGAGGATAAAACAGCTTATCTAAAATCAGCATACAAGCTGCCGTTAAAAAAAGAAATCCAAAAAACTAGACCGCTACCGTGGAACTCTGTGGAACCAAGCAGTGAGAGAGAGAGAGATCCGCCGGGCGATAAGTTACCGTAATCGAATGTTAAATGGTACTTGTATCTAAATGGGCGCAACAATTTGTTGTGGCACATCAAGCTGGCGCCAGGTGACTGCCGCAACGGCCACTTGACTGCCAGTTGCAGCCACTTGTTGCCGTTGCTATTGTTGTTGCCACTTATCCTGGGACCGGTAGAAGATGACAAAAATGACGACGACGGCGTCACTGTCGGCAAAAACTCACAGGCAAGTCATAAAAACGATCACACTTTGTCCCAAGGATGCTGGTGCTGCTGCTGTTACTGCTGCTGCTCCTGAGAACAATGGGCAGACACACAAGATGTGTATTTTATGACCCAACCGATGAGCGACAACCAACAAAAATCGATCGCCGACCGCCGACTGTTTACGTGTCTATGAAGTACTATATATTTTGGAAATTATTGTTATGATTATTGTATGTTTGTGGGTCTGCTCGACAATTTGTGGCCATTGTCGGCGAGGATACAGAAACCGCAAGCGGCGACAGTATTCGGAGCATAAAATACAAAAAAACAAACCGGAATCATTGCGGAAAAGTAATTCACTTGCAACATAAAAATGTCAAAAGCAGTTTCAGAAATGGCAGCGTGATCGATAAGGAATAACCAAAATCCTTTCTTATCTAACTTAATCCGCATGGAGTCATTAGTCGGATTGAATTTCCGGTAATTCGACTAGCTTTGCATAAATTCTGCGCAACATTTCCGCCTTTTCCAGAAACCTAAATGCATTTCCTATCTATAACTATGACTATGACTATGACTCAGGCGTAATTACGGTCCCATCTTCCAGACGGATTTGTGTCATTAGCGCACATCGCAAACGACTTTGGCTTCTGCCACGTCCGTCAGTTTTCATTCAATGCATTGCCTGCTCCCGGAAAAACCCGGGGAAATTTGAGCAGCCATTCACTAATTGCTGCCATTTGGCTTGTAATTGTGTGTTTGTTATCTTTGGCAATGCGCTTAGGCTACTTTCCTACAGAGTCGACACACATTGTATCCATTTACATAGCGAGAGAATGTGATTCGATTTTCATTTTGCACATGAATCAGACATTTAGATTTATTGTTTCTGTTTCTTTTGGTTTCTTTTTTTTCTGTTTTTGTTTTTTGTGTTTTACATGTAACTTATGCAATATGTGGATTATATATTCATCACACGCAAGCCACGTACAATTAATTGTGTTTAATCTTATAATAATTTCAAATTAACTATGGGATCCGTTTTATACGTTTTCAATTCAGCTTCATAATTCGTTTGTTATTTGTGTATTTGTCGTTTAGTTTAGTTTATTATTATAATTCGTTTATCACAGCTATACGTTTATACATTATACATATATAGATATATATTTGCAATAATTAATTGTTCTTTGTATTTGTTTATAGTTTTTTTAAAATGTGTTCCACAAAATACCTACACACACACATGCACTTACAATTGCCAGAAACTTACAAGTACAAAAAATTCAACATGCAAATGTTGATAAAAATATAAAAAGTAGTTGGGGTGGTGTTGATAAGAATGGTGATCTTATATGATATATATATGTACAACAGCATTTCAGCAAGATCTGCGGACCGAGAGAAATAAGAATCGAAAATAGAGGTAACAACACCAAAAGCTCAATACGTATTGATTGATATGTAGCACAGCTCCTACAGCTACTGCTCCACTTTTAGGATAGCTCAAAGCCAGTATTGCTACTAACGGCATAGCGCAGTTTGTCCCTCAGCGTTGATTTCTTCTGATAGTTGGGCAACTTAAGCAGGTTAAAGCAGGTCGAGGAGGTTGGCAGCCGATTGAGTGGATCCTTCTTGCGTATGGTGAAGAAACCGCGTATCACACTGCCAATGGTATCGCCAGTGTCTTCATCGTCGCCCACCTCCACACAGCGTATGGAAAAGGGTGGCTCAAGATGCGCAAAGCCCAAGAGTGGCGGTTTGGAGCAGCTGGTAACAAACTACAAGAAGCAATCTTTAAAACAAGACGATCAACATCAAATTCAATTTGCATTTGCTCACCTTAAGGAACAGTTTGCGCTCCTCCTCGGTGAAATCCTTGGCCAGTATGTCCCACAGCCAGCCGACAACGCGATGTGAGTCATGGAATCCCCCATAATACTGTGTATGCTTGCGCAAATCTCTCATATCCAATGGCACCGTATCACCCGATATCAGACGCTGCAGTTCCGGTGGAGAGAACAGCGACAACCACTCGGGATTGACAATGCTGCGAAAGCCACGATTGAACGCCTGCGTCTGTTCGCGTATCTGTGTGTTCATATGAAAGTAGGCCATGTAGTGGATGTAGACCAGCTTGTTGTGATCGTTCACCACACGCGCCTTGCCGCCTGGATGCAGTTCGTGGGTAATAATCTTGCCCATAACATCCTGATCCACAGAGAAAGTTAAATTCAAATCGGCCACATCCTGTTTGTAGTGCTTGATGAAGGTCAGACTGCGATAGAGCTCGTTGTCCAGCGAGGGCAGCTCATCCATGCAGGAGTAGAGCGCCTGTTGCGTTTGACCCAACAGCTGGGAAAGAAAGAACGAGGCAAAGGGCACATCCACCACAATGCCCTCGTAGACAGCCTTGCCAAGCATGCGGCCCACAAATTCAAATAGTTGCAGATGATTGTCCTGAACGTACGAAATGGGTGAGGGATACAGTCGTTGATCCGAGGTCGTTTTGAACAGATTCAGCGATGGATCGAACACCTTCTTGATGGTCTCCTCGAGAAACTCTTTAAACACGCCATCCTGATCAATACCCGCCTCGTGCAGTCCCTGCTGATTGATGAAGCGCACACGTATAACACCCTTTAGGGCATGTGTCGGCTGTGCGGCCAACTGGCGATAGCCATCCTCAACGATACGCTCTCGGTGGATGACAATCAACGCTGAACGAGGCGAGGCACACGCACTCTCCGTCAGACCCATCACAGCCTTCTCATTCTGGACGAATTTTCGGAACAGCTTGACGCGATCGTCGTGCGGTATTATATGCGGCATCTTGGCCAGGAGCAGCATTGCATTCCTCTTGGCCTTTTCCAGGTCGTTGATGAATGTCGATGGCTTCACCTCCGGTATAAGCCAATGATTGGGTGGTGTAAAGGGACGACGACAGTCACGACGATATAAACAAAGTAATAGCGTGTGCAGTGAAACAAAAACAGGATTCTGCACAATGTTCTTGGCACCTATAAAAACAGAGCATTGAAAGTTATTTGACAAAAACAAGTTGAAGCCAAATTTGGGAAACATACCCAAAATGTTGTCGTTGATTAGCTTGTACAACATATTATTGAGAAAATATGTGAGCATAACATAATCGTTAAGGCGAAAAGGATTCTGTTCCGTATACATTTCGTACTCATCCAGAATGCTGCAATTGAAATGACAATTAAAATGTGTAATAAAATAGTTTGGCTTAATTTGCACTCACGTCACATAGTGCGTCATGCAGTCACAGAAGAGCATTAGCATCGCTGCTTGTGGCTTCTGCGACAACGTTTCGCATCGGAGCAGATCCAGATATTCCTTCATGCCACAGTTGGGTCCCAGCGAAGTCAGCAGCAGCCAAATGTCATAGAGTACATTGTCATTGTAGCAAATGCCGGTTAGAATGTCCAGTTTCATTTGCGACAATGTGCTCAGAGCCGCATAATACATGCCACAAATACGTGAGACCTGCACAACATTGCTGTTGTCCAGTCTGCGCCATTGCATCTTTGTTTGTTTACCGGCAGCGCTGGCCAGCAAGCCACTGCCACGTGTGGAGCTGCGCTCCAGCGCACGTCGCAGCAAATTGCTTGTCGAAGGCTGTTGTGGCGACTGAAACTCAATCCGCTCGTAGTTCGCGTTGATCTCCTTGAGCAGATCGCCGAGCAGCAGCTTAATGCAACGATTATCCCACAACATGTGAAACTGTTTCTTAATTAGCGCCACGTGTTGGTTCTGTGCCGGCTCCGCACAAGGTGTGTGCCAGCCAAGAAGCTCGTGCCACTGGGTGAAGACGCCTGTGGTGGTCACCGTGTTGGGTATTAATTCCAGCAGCGATGTAGTCGATTCCTGCAAGGTTCGTAAATAAGTTAAGAAGAAACCATTTGATTTGTACTCACGGTTAGCAACGGGTAGGCCAAAAGCTTCGCTTCGGCCAAATTGTCAATGTTGAACATGTTCACAATGTTGCCGAGATATGCCAGAGTCTTTGTGCCCGACATGCTCGCCGCAAACTCCTCGAACCACTGGTAATCCTCCGATATGCTCAACGCACGCTTCAGCAGCCACATCGAACTAAACTGTTCGATGCACTGCGGCACACTCTGATGCAAATGATAGATGAGTGCCGGCACCGAGAGTATTTCGCTCAGAAATTGCGATAGCAAATTGCGACTGTAATCGCCGTCGATCAACGGACGCAGGCAGAGTGTGATTATGGCAACGAGCGTCACGGGCTTCACCGACAATTCCTCACGAGCGGTGCCTCGGAGCAGAATGAGCTGTGATTGCGAAAAACCAATAAGTATGAAAGAAAATTAATAATTATGTTGTTTACATACGCGCATTGTTTTGTAGAAACCATGTTGCACCAAATGTCCCTGAATATTGCAGCAGATCTTCTGCATAGCCGGTTGCAGTCGCTCAAATTGTGGATTACGCAATATGGACCAAGATTTCGGGGCAGTGAACACAATGAGCGTGTGCAGAAAGAGCGCTAGCGAAATGCTATCAGCATGATTCTCCGGCTTGAGATCCGGCAACAGCAGCAGACAATTAATTAACAATTGCTTAATATGCCCAATCCACGGCAAACTGCGCTCCTTGTGCAGACAGAGCGCCGCATAAGACTGCTTGGGGTTGTCCACTTCCATAGCGCGGTTGACGTAGCGACAAATGTGCTCCAGGCGATCTCGATTGCGACCATCCTTTTTGTCCAATTTGATTTGTGTCAGGTAGCGACGCAGCACAGGATAAACCAGAACAGCGGCCAGCAGATCTGACTCCTTTCCGCCCTGTTCGACTTCGAAAAGTGCATCAAAGTCTTGGCTATGGTCGTGTGAAGATACAGTAAGTATATATTTAAACATGATATCTAGTTAATTGTCTTACATGATTCGTCTCTGATACTTGGAGCGCGCTGCATATCCCTTGAGAGTCGCCTGCAGCAGTATGGCAGCCTCTTCGCGTCGCTTCTCAAGTGCGCGCTCTTCGCGGGCTGCCTTCGTATGCTCCAAAAAGTTGGTTTTGTGTGATTCCGTTTGTGCGAACATTTTCTACACAAATACGTTATGGGTGTTTTTGTTGTTCTTTGCTTTTTGGGGGGGAGCTGCAGCAAGTCTGATGTTGGATTCGTTTGTGTAGTTATTGTGTTTGCGATGGGCTATATTGTTGCATGCGCGCATTAATTAACAATTCGCACTGTGCTGTAAGCTCTTTAGTTGGATGTGCATGGTAAGTGCAGATTGCAGTAGCACTCAGTTTTCCAATAACAATATTTTTTCATTTTCCTAAGCCCCTAACTCGTATATTGTACGTGAACAAGTTCGATTGAACAATTGAGCATTTGGTTTTAACAGTGTGGCAGCGCCATTGCCAAAAATATCGATGAGGTAAGTATCGTCAGAAGAGTTCACTTGGAATTCGAAACTAGTTCGCTTTGAGAAACCTAAAGATGTTATCTATTTCTAATGTTAAAAAATTAAATGCCATTAACTTAGGCATTTCACTATTATTACACATTAAGTGAAAGCCAGTTAACCTGCGAAGTTTATGATAATAGATAGAATATCGAGTTGGTAGCTTGGCACCGAACTACTCAGTTCAAGTGAACCAGCTCGTTCCGAACCGATTCAACTTTATTTGTCATCTCCATCTCCAGCAGCACTTTCTACGAGCGAGAACGTCGTCGCGTTAGCGTGAATTAATTATTAATTAACTATAAAAAGTACATAGTATATATTTGCAAAAATATTAAAATGCAAATAACTGCGAGCGGATACAGTTGTGTGCAGTTTTATTTCGTTTCGTCCCAAAATGTGTTGCGTGCACGCGCAAATATGTCGTGGTGATGCCAGAGTCAGCTAAAAAAGGCGATGTATGATTTTGCAAGACTTTGAAAAACAGAGAGAGAGAATAACAAAGCCAAGTCAAGGTGAAAATTATACAAAAAATTAATGGATGCGCGATCCGATAACATATGCATATCAAATTAACGAAATATGCTCGTATTTCGGAGCGATCAAAACTGTGTGAAAATAATTTCAAGGTTTGCACCGCGAGCAAGCGAATAGAAAGCAAAAGGTAATTGAAAAATAGAACGATTTTGGCACAAGCGCACTGTATTATAGTCTATGGGTCTATTGTGCTCTTGTTGTTGTTGTTGTTAACGTTTTGTCTGTGACTTGGGTGGGTGGGGCGTGATTTGGGGGCAGCTGGTCGTCGCAGCAGCAGCAAAACAAAACAGCGAAGCGAGCGTGTTTTGTCGCTTATTTGTTGGAGAAAGAGTGGGGAACGACGACAGAAGCATTAGCCCAAAACGGAACCGAAAGTGAGTGCAATTGAAAATAAAAAAAACGACATGAAAACAATTGCACTGCGTTCAGGCGGCGAAAGCAGGCAAGAACAACAACGAGTCACAAGCAACTGAGCAGAAGAAGAAGATGAAAAGCAAATGCCTGCCAGACTGCTTGCTTGCTTGCTTTGTAATCTCATGTAATTTGCCGCAATTTTTGCTGCTTGTGCATTCTGCCTGCTTCCGTATGTGCGTATGAGTGCATGTGTATGTGTGTTTGTGTGAGCGCGCTTTGCTTTGGGGTCGGTAGGTCGTTTTGTAGCGAGCGACATGTAGCTTGCTTGCATTCCGTCACATCAATACACGCACAGCGAGACGCATATGCATGTGAGTGTGTGTGTGAGTGTATTACATATGTCAGCATGTATTAACATTGAGTAGTTCTCTCCCCCACTGCTGACTCCTTTAAATCTGTAAAAAAAAGGCGCGCGCGTGTTCGCCGCTCTGCTTTGCTCTGATCATTTCGCAGGCTCCACCATTTTTAAAAAAGAAAAACGCCAGCTACTTTATCATATGTACATTAGCTGACGCCAGCAGCGCCAATCATCGTCATTCTCGCGAACGCCGCCACTGCTAACGCTGCTCTTGCTGCTCTGCTTTACAGTTACTCAGTTCCTCAGTGCTGCTCCCCATCATTGCAGCAGTTAGTTGGGTTGCCTGCTTGCCTGCCTGGCTGACTTTTTAATTCTCATTTCTGTTTGTGTTTATTCGAGTGCAGATAATCAAATTTATATTGTGCATGCAAAATACAAAAAAAAAACAAACAAAACGCATACGAAAAGAAAATGTTTAAAGAATACAATTGCTGCTGAGTTAGCAGCCCAGAATTATTGTGAGTACATCGAAAATCGGCTGTTGTTGATTTTGCTATATGTCGTTTATTGAATTTATTGACAATTAACATCTATTATTAGTATGTAATTCTATGCCGGTTATATATATGAATATATATGTATGTATGTGTGTGTGTGTTAAATTTACAGCAATTGCCTTAAACTGACACATAACCTCAAAAATTAATATAGTTGCCTAGTTACCGTTACATTGAAGCTCGCCATTTGCAATGCTTTTTTAATTCGTTTGTGTTTGTAACATTGGCATATAAAATATCGTTCATATGTAATTGTGTGCAACAATTAAACAAAAATGTGAAATCCCCTTAAAAGAAAATAAGAAGAAAAAAACATTAAAAAAGCCGTAAGCTATACTTCAATGCTCTTTGATACTGTAATGTGTCCGTTATGTTTAAATGCTTGCCTATGTACACACACACACTCACGCATACATATGTACATACATTGACACAGCTGCAATGCTGAGAGAGCTTTAAAATTGTAACAGTAGGCAAAAACAACAACAACAAGAGCAACAATTCAACAAAAGAAAATCGAAGAAAGTCGCCAGCGAAACAACAAATTCAACTACTATTGAAACAAGCTTCATGATACCCGTTCGAAATGAGCACAACGTATAAAAGAAAAAAAATAAAGCGTAACGAAATTAAATGAAAAGCGCAAATCGCAATAACATAACCACACTTATTGAGAATCATTTCGCTTACCCCCTCCCCGCCCCACTTGAACTGGTACCCCTCTCCTTGTGGCTCTTGTGGTTAGACACGCTTAAAGCTAATAGGTAAATAATGATTTGAAAATGTATAGTATTATTATTATTGATTTATCGCCATCGCGCGCAAAGCTCCAGTCGAAGGTGTTATGTACCAAACTCGTTATTTATTTATTTATTTTTCTGATAAGAGCCCCGCAAAGGTGCCTCCCCCCACTCCCTCCCTGCCACCCTTTCGCCAACCGACAAGCAAGCGATAAACGTCTACAATCAATGCTAATTTTTTCTCCTTTTTCACATTTCATCATAATTTATTTATTTTTACTTTTTTCTGGGCTGTCGTTATTTGTCAGGTTGCAATTTTTTGTTATTGTCGCAGCATTTGTAAATTTAATAAATTAGCGAAAAAATTGATTCGATTAACTTTGAATGTTGTCGTTGCCGTTTTTGCCGTCGCTTGACATCTATTATCGCCCGAAACGGGACCAACAACAACAGCAAATAATGTCTGGGTAAATTTTTTTGTGTGAAGTGAGTGATTCTGGCTGATCACGCGGCTCGAATACGCTGCAATCCAATCAATGCATGAGGCCCAATTATCTAACTACAAATTCAAGCAACCAACAGCAACGAACACTTTAATCATCCATCATTTTGCAGTGCAAAATTAATTGAAAACTGTTCGTTTGACTAAAGTTCAAATAGGCCATAGGAACAAACGGAAATGAAACACAATTATCCCTACTTAATACCTCTCTTTCTCTCTCTCTCTCCCTCTGTGCTTGCAGCCCTGGCAACTGAACCAAAAACTAAACAAATAAACACCACACTAGCTGCAGCAATTGTTATATATTTATTATTATACAAATACTTCCAAGCGATACACTGTTTATTACGCGATTGAGGAACCACAACTACAATAACAACGATATGAAGTACACAACGGGAACAGACAACGCGCTGCCCACGAGCAGCAGCAGCAACAACAGCGATCTACAAACAGCAGCAACTATAACACAGCAGCAACAATCCGCAACGACAACGACAAGTGCCGTCAATAATACAACGGCCGCCACTACAAATCCCAATACAAATACCAATCCAAATCCCAATCCGAATCCCACTACCAGCAACAATCAAACCGATAGCAATGCGAATGGAGGAGAGGCGCAACAGTCGGCCACACAGACGACGGCGTCACCAAATAATGCCTTATTCTGCGAACAGGTGACGACGGTGACGAATCTGTTCGAGAAATGGAACGATTGTGAGCGGACCGTTGTGATGTATGCACTACTGAAGCGTCTACGGTATCCGAGCCTCAAGTTTCTACAGTATTCCATAGACAATAATCTGACACAGAATCTGGGCACATGCCAAACGAATCTGAGCAGCGTTGTCATTGACATCAATGCCAACAATCCGTCATATTTGCAAAACCTTTTGAGTGCATACAAGACTTGTCAGCCGAGCAGCGATTTGTGTGTGCTTGTGGATGGCATGTCGTCCTCTTCCTCCGACAAGGATTCAATGCCCTGTTATGGCAGTGATTTTCAATTGACCAGCACAACAAGCCAGCATCCACGCAAAGAGGATTTATTGCACGAGGTGCTCAATATGCTGCCATTGCTCAAGCCGGGCAACGAGGAGGCCAAACTCAGTTATATGACGCTAATACCGCTCGCTGTTAAGGACACGGTGCAGCAGCTGGTGCCCACTGAGCTGGTGCAACAGATTTTCTCGTATATGTTCATACATCCCGCCATTGGCAGCGACGATCGACGCTCGCTGAATGTGTGGCTGCGTCATCTCGAAGATTTCATTCAGGCCAACAAGCGCAGCGGCAGCAGCAGCAACAGCAGCGGTGCCGGTGGCAGCTACTTTGTGCAGCCGGAGCAACTGCAATTGCATGCAATTGTGGGTACGGGAACTGGCAATGGCACCATTTCAGACAGCTCATCATCGTCCTCCTCGTCGCTGGGTAATTTGACGCGCAGCGTCGATTGGCAAACGATTGCACCGCCTAGCCGACACCACCATGGCAAGCAGCTGCCCAGGCAGCCGGGCGAATGGCGGGGCAGTGTGAGCGGATCATGTGGATCGATCAATCCACTCTGTGATAATTTAAATGGTATTACACTGAACGAATTAGCATCTAGTCAGAATAGCTTAGGCCTCTCCCTGGGCAGCAATTCGTCGCTGGTCAACGGCGTCGTCGCTGGCGCTGCAGCCGGCTCAATATTGGGCATCGGTGGCAATGATGATCACGACACATCGTTTAGCAAGAACGGCACCGAAATCCTCGACTTTGAGCCCCCCCTCCATGGCGATGCGGAGACACCTAGCGGAATTGCCAGCGGTAGCAGCCTGAGCCAACAACAGGTGAGTGTAGTTTCTATTTCAAATTCTATATATATATATAATTTTATATATTCATATTCAATTCATTATAATTTGCTTGCAGGCTTCTTCCTCGCATGCCGCTCCCACGCATGCCCCACCCATTCTGCCACAGCTGTTGCAGCCGCCACCACCACCGCCACCGCCACAACTGCCGTATGCTTCCATACTGATGGGCTATGTGGGAGATCAGTTTGGCGACGTGAATCGCTGGAGCTTGGACAGCAAGATTGCAGCGCTTAAGACGCGACGCTCCAATAGCCTGACCACCCAAACGATCTCCAGCAGCTGTTCGTCGAACTCATCGAACTCGTCTGTGATCACGGTGAACGACAATTGCTCTAATTCGACGGAGAATTTGGCTCAGTTTGCCAACAAGCCGCGAAGTTTCTCGCTCTCCATTGAACACCATCGCAACAACAACAACAACAATACGCTGGCGAACAGCACATCGGACCCACGCTTGGATGACTTTAAGCCCAGCTACATTAAGTTCCAGACGCGCAATGTGGGCATGTCGGGAATTGGGCTATGGCTGAAATCGTTACGTCTGCACAAGTACATTGAGCTGTTCAAGAATATGACGTACGAGGAAATGCTGCAGATTAGCGAAGAGTTTCTGCAGAGCGTTGGCGTCACCAAAGGTGCCTCACACAAGTTGGCGCTGTGCATTGAGAAGCTCAAGGAACGCTCCCACATACTGGGTAAAGTGGAACAGGAGCTGCACACTGGCCAGATGAAGATTAGCACCGCCATCGAAGAGCTCACAAACATTGTGCTGACACCGATGAAGCCCTTGGAGTCGCTATCTGGTGAGGAGAACATTGGATTGCGTTTCCTCAAGGTTATCGATCTGGTGAGCAATGCACTGCAACAGGATCCGTACTGTGCCCAGGACGAGGAAACATTGGGCGTCTTTATGTGGATACTGGACCGTTCCATACACAACGAGGCATTCGCCAATCATGCCAATCAACTCAAGGAGCTCAAGTTCAAGTTGTCCAAGCTGAAGATGTCCATGGTGCCCAAGCTGCATCATGTGAAGACAACGGGCGGCGCAGCTGGCAACATGAATAAGCCCAGGTAAATGTGCCATTCACTTTAGACACGAACCGATTTAAGCTTAACTTAATTTACATTTAAACTTGGCTTTCTCTTTCGCTTAGGTGGAACGGAAAGAGCCGCAAATGTGATCCGAAAAACGGTAGCAACGATCGCATCAATCATCGCAAAAACTCAAATGATATGCTAAACTTTTCGCTCAGCTGCCTCCAGCATCCATTGCAGCAGCATCATCAGCAGCAACAACAGCAGCAGCCGCCGCCTCCGCAACAATTTGACTACAGTGGTGGCTATCAGACGCCAGTACAGTACAAGAGCTCCTCCTATCCCAGCTTCATTAGCAATCCCCAACAGCAGCAACAACAACAGCAGCAGCAACAGCCGTTAAAGCATCATTCACAGCATGCACAACAAATGCAGCAAATGTTGCAGCAGCAGCAACAGCAGCAGCATGCACAGCACTTTCCAGCGCTGCCACAGCAGACGCCGCCGCCTCATCATCGACGCTCGCTGAACAATCTTATTGTGGTCGCTGGTGGGCCACAGCAGCCCCAACAGCTGATCTTTAAGCCCGGCCAGGGTGTCCTAACCAACAGCACCAATGACAACCTGCAGCATCAACAGCAGCGCAAGCCTAGCCTGAATGGACTCTCTGGTCTGGTCTCTGGATCATCATCATCCTCATCGTCATCATCGAGTGGAGGGGAGCAGCAGCCAAAGAAGACGATGGCCGCTGTTGTGATGGTTAGTAATTCAAATCAAAATGAATCCGCTCAACATCAACAACAACAGCAGCCGCAGCAGCAGCAGCCGCCTCCGCAAATATTAATTAACAACAGCAACAACAATAACAATAATAACAGCAGCAACAACAACAACAACAGCAACATATTGAACAACAATTTGATAAACCATCAGCAGCTGCAATTGTTGGCTGCTGCTGCTGCTGCCGCCGCTGCAATGGGTAATGGCGGCAACTGTTTGTGCCCTGGTGATGGTGGTAGTGACAATATCGTCGCCTGTAGCAATAGTATTTGCCAGCAGCCTAACAACAACAATAATAATAATAATAATAACAATAACAACACAAACAACAACAACAATATGGATCAGTGCTTGTCTCAGCCGCAGCTGATCAATCTGAGCATGTCCACGCTTAAGGATAGCTTCAATATGCCGCCGCATGATTACAAAATGAATGACTTTAAGAGCTTGGAGCAGCTGGAGACGCTCTGCCGTCAAATGACTGAGCAGGCAATGAACTAGAAACTGTTGGCCATTCTATTCTATTCTTTAGATTTTATTTTGAAATTCTTCAATGTTTCATTGTTGTTTTGTACGCTTGATTTGTGTATGCGAGTGCGCTTGTACGTTTGTATCGAACCTAGAAAATATGAATGGTGTTTTTTTGTAATCGTTTTTAGTTATGTAAGAAACCAAAAAAAAAAGTTAGTTAAATGTTAAGTTTATTATCTCTGTGCGTGCGTGCGTGTCTATATGTGTGTGTGTGTGTTAAATGACGCGTCTGCTGGGCAATCTTGGAGCTGCTGCTACCACACTCCATACTGCAACGGCTGGCCGTTCAAAACTGGCAGGGCCTAGCTGAAAATTCCTCCTCCAAAATAAGAAATGAAAAAGCAACTAGGCGCAGCTAGGGCGCAGCTCCAAAGGGTTGGCCCAGAGGCGGCGCTTTTGCTGCCAATGTTTATTAATGTTTAAGTTGATAAATTTGTCAAAACGTAGTTCCAACTAATAATCACAAAACTCCATGCAGCAAATGATTGCAACAAAACAAAAATAAAAACCAAGACAACAACAAACTAAAAGTAGCAACCAAAACCAACAAACAACAATTTTCTCTCTGTAGGAAAATTTGGCCAAATTTGATCAACATTTTACGCTATTCTGACGCATGACGCTGGCCTCCCTCTTAAAAACAAAACAAAAAGAAAAAACAGACGTCGACGACGAAATATGCAATTTGCATACAATACATACATAAATAAAAATATGTATATGTTAATGAATTATATTATGAACTCTGCATCGTGACCATGAGACTGACTAAGATTACTATATTCGCAACTATAAGAACTAGAGAAGCTGGAATAAACTAAAACAAAAACAAAAACATGTTTGAAGAAGCACACACGATACACGACGACGACGACACGAAATGCGAATCAAAAAAACGTTGCTTGCTGAAAGTCACATAATGAACTATGTTTATACACATATATATATATATCTATATAAATATATATGGATATATCATATAAAACAAAATATATATACACATAATTTATTTTAAATTTAAAGGAACACAATTGCTGAAAACAAAAAAAAAAAAACAAAACGTGTAATTTGTAAATGTTAACTCTTAAAGAAATTGTCTTATGTTCGAGTTGGAATTATATGCAGAAATGTTTGAGGAACCTAAAGCTAATTCTACACATATTGTATTTTGTATAAGTAGTAAGGATATAAGCCAAAAAAAAATCACATATATATATATATAATTATGTATATTTTGTTTCGCTTTTAGGCTTTAGTCAATTGTTTGTAATAATGTGCTGTATATGATAATGATGGCAAATCGATTATGTTATGTTATTTTTTAATTGTGTTGAGAATTACTATATATAAAAAAAATTTATATATATATATAAATGTAAAGATGTCGATCGCGATTGCTTTGTAAGCTTAAGCTAATACTAAAACGAGAGTGACAAATGATAAAAACAAATTGTTAGCTTAATTTGAATATGTGTGTATAATAAAAACTGAACGAAATGCATACAAATTGCAAAAAAATATGTATAATTATGGAATGCGGCTTGACAAAACAAATGAAATTATTTTTTTTATTAATGAAATAATAACAAATTTATCTACACATACACACACACTCAGACACGACAAGCAGCCGCAAAAAGGCAACAAATATATGTAAATTATATAGTGTAAACAAATTGAATAGCCATAGAAAAGTTCAAAATTCACAACAACCGCAGAAAAACGATAAAAATGGTTTAAAATTTGTAAAAGTTCAACTATTAATAATAACGCATTGTGCATAAAGTCGAGTTAATTACAAAAAGAAGTGTTTAAATTGCAATTATGTATATAAAGAACGAAATTCAAATCAAAATGTTAGTCAAGGGTTGGTTGGGGGAAGGGAGTAGAGCAAAAGTGCCGCGCTGGGCTGGCAAAGAACAAATTATCAAATGTGAGCATTCAAGAGTGTACCTACTACCAATACACATATACATACATACATACTACATGTATATATATGTATACATCTATATGTATATATATATATATATATTTATTTTAAATAAATTATTTCGAGAATTAACAATTGTCAATTTGTGTGTCTCTTCTGTGTCTGACGACTGCCAACAACATGAACCCAACTCGGTTGCCTAACAACCCAGGTTGCCATGGTTTTCTCTGTCTCCGTCTCCTGTTATTATTTAAAACGTATACATCACACTCAGTTGATAACTTGATTCTAAGCAAAATTCAACAGATTAATAAATACAATGAAAAAGCATCGCTATAATACTGTGCAGCTCGATGGGCTCAATTCGGGCCTGTTGAAGCATCAGCAGCAGCAGCAGCCGCCGCATCAACCAGCTGCTGGCAATGAGGAGCAAATGCTGATGTGGCCGAGCGAGCGCATTGCACCAGGCGGCAGCGGTGCCTTTCATGCACCCAAAGTGGAGTACAGCAAGGAAACGGCTGATTTACTCAAGCGTAAGTAGAGATAACTTTGCTTAGCTTACCCTTTGGCTACATCCTGCTGCGTTGCAGTGCTCATGAAGGAGTCGAAGATGTCCATGGTCATGCGCAAACAAATCGATACTAGTCTGCGCAATGGCGAACCGTTGCCGTTGCCCAAACCGATACGCCCCAATACCAGCAACGATCTGGATAAGGAAACCATTGCCATTTTGGAGCGTGCACGCAATGCGAAGCGCAAGAATCTGCGCCAAATTGAGGGTAGTGGCGCCTATGAGCAGAGCTACTATCGTCCGAGGGTTGACAATCGTATGCTCAGTGACAAAGCCAAGGCCAAGCTGCAGTTCACCATGGCGGGCATCGAGTTGCCGGATCCAGCTATAAAGCCACTACGTCGTTCGCGTGAAGATCGTTTGGTCACCGAAGAAGACATTATCAATGAATGTAAGTTGGGCACAATTCTTGAAGTGTGTTAGCCAGTTGATAACTCTTCTTTCTTCACAGTGCTGGATCAGATAAACGAACGGGCTGATTGGTTGGCCGAAATGGAGTCACTTGGTCAGGGTAAGAAATATCGTCCCGAGATACACGATCAAATTTCGGAGCGCTTGCATCGCATTCGTGCGTTGGAGACCAAGATAAAGATGAAAGCTACGGGTGGTTATCGCTTCGTGGACTAAAGTGAAGCTGATAACAAAACAAAAATGTGTTAAATGTTTAAATTATAGAATTATGTTTAAAAAAAACGAGTAAATTGGCAATACACAATCAATTTTTTTGCGTTTACTAACAACATATTGCATACTTTTATGGGCCAGCGGAAATGTGAATTTGAGATTAGTGTGTAATAATTTAGCACTTTATTTAACTTATTCGCTTGATAATATAATAATATATAATTATATATATATATATATATATATATATAATTTTGTATCTGGCACATATTTAATACACACAAAACGCACGAAGCATTCCAACAATTTAAGAAGCACAACGCAAAGCAATTACGAGTATTCGGTGTACTCTTTGTGTTTCGACATGAAATTTGGCAAAACGAGTGAAAACTACAATTAGTCGAAAATACATATGGATTTGTTGAAGTAATCGAATAAATAATTGGATTATATTTATATATGTATATAGATAATACGGCTAGGGTATATATCTTTTGTTCTTCTCTATGCACTATTGTTGCAGTGTATAGATATCGATATATATATGTATATATAAATATATACTACATGTATATGGATCTGTAATGCTCCTTTTAAAAATAGAGATTTTGTTTTGTGCTACTGTACTGTACAGGGACGTCGCTTAACAGGATGGCATGTGGCAGCGAAACTCGCCAGCTGCCTCAGCGAAACGATTGCGTATTAAATAGCCGCTGATCACCTCAGCCACCTCGTGTGGACGGTCCTCGTGTACGGCATGACCGCATCGGGCCAAGACTTGCATCTGGAAACGGCCCTGCATCTGGCCAACGGTGAGTGTTCGATCCAGTCCATCAATGCTGGCCAGTAGCAACTGCTTCGGCAATCGCAAGTTGAGGAACTTGTCGCTCAGGCCCGAAAACCAGCCGACCCAATACTTCTCCGATTTGGCCAGATCGATGCGCCACGTGTAACTGCAATGGTTAAAGGTGGAAAGTCATTGAAATGACCGGCATTCCCCTTGGGATATCTGAGATCTTACTTCTTGGCCGCCTCCATTGCAGCCTTGGTTGTTATGGGCTTCTTGAATTCGGTACCCTCGGCGCCCTCCTCGCCGCCATTGCCCACCTCCTCATCCTCAGAAATGCTAAACGCATTGGGAAACATGCTTGTGTGATGAGCCTCCTCGAGCACCTCTTCGGGCAGTGGAAGATCGTTCGTTGCCAGTTGATTCGTTGTACAGCTGGTGTTGCAAATAAATTACATGTATACAAAGTTCAAATTTGTGAAAGTGACGCCACTCACTTGATTATTTGGCCAGGCATTGAGACTTTGGCACTATCCACGTTGCGCACCTGTCCACTTCGTATGCACCATTCGATGGCATTCGGTATGCTCTGAAAGTACTTGGGACGCGAGCGCAAGAAGCTCTGCATGCTGGCCAAAGCTTCCATGGCAGTTCCCTCAACGACATCGATGACTGTGATGCCAATTAGACTTGGCGCCAGAGCCATGTGTGCGAAATGCACAGCAATAGCACCACCCATCGAGTGGCCAACCACATAGATCTGAGGCACCTCCTCGGGATAGAGTTTAACTAACAAATCGCCAATATCCCTGAGCGCATAGGAGACCGAAGTTAAGCAGAAATATATAAATGTAGAAGTTTGGCACTACTCACTTGGACAGCGTAATTTCCGACAAGTCATCCTCGTCATCCACTTTGGTGTCACCATGTCCACGTAGATCGATGCACAGGCACTGACAGTGTATCATGCTCGTGACCTCTGACTGATAAAAAAGAAATTAGAAGCGCGCACAACACACACACACATACACACAACAGATGTACATACACAAAAGTGAGCCCAGGTGAGTGCCGAATAACCTCCGCCGTGTAATAACAATAAAACGGGGCCCGATTTCTCTGGCTTTTTTGTCCGATAGACGCGAAATGTGCGCTGCTCGTCGACGACAACGTCTTCCTTCTCGGCAAAGAACTCGTTCCACATGCACGGCTTGTAATCCCTAATACGTGACTTTTTAAACGAATCCCTGCAATTGTTGTTTATTTCATATTTGTGTCAATTAGATTGTGTTGTGTCTTTAAGTTCACCTCCCGCATAATATATTTTTGGGAGATGGGGGTAAAACTTACGCTCGGCCAATGCGACCGCCCGGAATTGTGGGCGGCAGCTTGGATTTAAGCATTGTACGTTGTAAGCTCGACATTGCGTTCGATTGTCCGCGCAATAATTGCAATTAAATATTTTATTAATCAAATGGGCAATTTATTTTTTTTCGTTTCGATTTCGTTGTGGTTGGGCACCCCAAAACTCTAACATTTGTATTAATGCTATTAACATCGGACACGAATTTTATGCTGCCGTTCAAAATAATCAGTTCTGAATTGGTAATCGAAAAGTTTGTTTTGTTAATGCAATGGTTCCTAATTGTTCAAATAATGTTTAAGTAATTTAAAATGGCTTTTGACGATGAAAAGAGCTTAGAGAAAAATGACGACTGACGCTCAAAATGTAAGTTAACAGCTGCTAACTAGATTTAGTAACACAATTCTAACAGAATATTAACATAACAGCTGTTGGCTTACTTATATATATATTCAAAACGAAAACGTTTGAATAATATATGTTTAATCGCATTTAGGAATAGGTTCAAAAATTCCACTGCCATAACTTCGTCAACGTCTAATTAATCTTGAACCTTCGAAGGTAATAATTTATACCAATATAATTTATATTTAGAGACACCATTATTGGATGAAATTCTTGTAAGACCTTCCTTCCCAATAAGTCCAATTGCTTACTGTTCCAAGTTTACCAATGCATTAGCATATTTTCGGTTTCTACTGTATCACTTATAAATTTGTTCTCACATTTAGCGGAACTTTTAACATGCTTTTGAAACACTCTTAGTTTTGAAGTAAAGCAAATGGGCTTGCTTAAATCAAATTTTATACATTTGGCGGAAGCTTTGATAGCTTACAAATATTTATATAGGTGCATAATTAAAAACCTGTTCTCAAAAGCATGTTTTAAAAATGGTTGGCAAAGAAAGTGATGATTTGTTGCATGGAGTGACGAGTGACGCCGGTTTGGGCATGACCTACATGGGATTGAAGCTGATAACAAAAAGCTAATGTAAATAAAAACTCTACACGCTGTCGCACTTCTCAAGTCGCAATGCGATTTGTTGATATCTGACTAAACAAAAACGGAAACTGAACGGGCCTGGCTGATCAGTTGCCAGTTGGAAGTCGGAACGTTCGTATCACACAAAAAAGTTCTAGTGCCCACTTTTGATAACATAACAAGTGTCTAAAGCTCTTAATAGTGTGATAATAGCTCTTTGGGTACGTCCACCAACATGGTTCATTGAACCATCGAACAAACAAAATGTATTCTGTTCAAAACATTTAAATAAACCGCCATTTAAATATTTATTTAACTTACACCTGGCAACGTCTTCACGTCAGCTGTAAACGCTGCTCTCCTCTCTCTCTTGCTCTCTTTCTCACGTATTTGTCTCTCTCTCGTTTTGCCGGCGTAATACGCAAGACGAAAAGTTCGTGCACTTTGCTGCAATTCTTTTTCAATTAAATTAATTGCAATTTGCGTCAATTTAACGAAAAACTGCAATATTGCAACACTTCCGAGACAGATATTTGCCATGCTCGCTAATCTGTGCTTAGTGTAATCAAGCCAATGACATTCTGATAAGGTGAGAGCAGCACTGATAACAAGAAATTTCGCACACCTTTTCCATAAATACACATTTGTGTGTATGCACGTATAGAGTTGTTTTTGTGTATCTATGTGTGTGTGTAGCTGGCATTGTTTACGTATTCGGTTTTTATGGCCTGTGTTATTGTTATTATTAGCGCTTAACGGGGTATATTTTGTGACACGTTAGCAGTCTCATCACATCAGAATATTTTTGCAGGTCAACTAAAAAAAAATTAAAAGAAATTAAATGGCGGCAAGTGGAAATGGTACAGTTACAGCAGCCACTGTTGGCGACGAGCACGTTGCGGTGCAACAGCTGCAGCCACAGAACAAGGCTTATGAGCGCCTCATCAAATTGGGCACCTTTTACACGCAACAATTTGGCCTCAAGCCCGAATTCTATGTGCGTGTTCCAGGACGGTGAGTGAATGGACTAAAATAAATATATATTCATATGAATTAAGATAATGCCCCTTGCAGTGTGAACATTATTGGGGAGCATGTGGACTACTGCGGTTACTCTGTGCTGCCCATGGCCGTGGAGCAGAGCATCATGCTGGCTGTGGGCACGGATCTGCATCAAACCAAGCTGGAGCTACATCATCTGGATGAGGGAAAATTCCAGAGCTTTGATTGCGATCTGAACGCCCTTGAGTAGGTTAAATGATTGCAACACAAATGCATTTCCAATTACAAATTACACTCTCTTTATCTCTGTCAAGCATCAAGTTGCCTAAGACTGGCGGTCCGGCCTGGTACAGCTACTATTTGTGCGGCATCAAGGGTGTACAGGAGGAGCTGGGCGATAAGTGGCGGCCAGTTGGCATGCGTGTTGCACTCTGTGGCAATGTGCCACTTGCCGCTGGCCTGTCCAGCTCTAGTGCGCTAGTGAGTGCCGCTGTGCTGGCCACGGCCAAAGTGCAGGGCATGAGGCTGGACCGCAAGCAGTTGGCATCGATTTCGGCCAGTTGTGAGCAGTACATTGGCACACACAGCGGTGGCATGGATCAGGCGATTGCCTATCTGGCGAAACAGGGCTGTGCCCAGCACATCGAGTTCCATCCGAAGCTGAATGGGACGCCAGTTACGCTGCCCACTGGCGCTTGCTTTGTGGTTGCCAATAGTCTTGTGCAGAAGCGGAAAGCAGCCTCCTCCGATTACAATGAACGTGTTGTGGAATGCCGACTGGCTACACGCTGGCTGGCCAAATCACAGAAGCTACCCAATTGGCGGAATTTCATTCGATTCATCGACCTCGAGGAGGCGTGCAAGTTGGATAATGCTGCCTACGTGCAATTGATTGAGAACCAACTGCAAAAATCACTTTACACCCGCGAGGACGTTTGCGATACGCTGAACATTACGGAGCAGGAATTAGAAACTGATTTTCTAACGCCCAGCACACAGCATATGCAGCAATTTAAGCTGCGTCAACGTGCCTTGCACGTCATCCAAGGTTGGCAACGGATTTTGTTACGCTTAGCATTGATTTACATTGATTAGCTTATCTCGCTTTCAGAATCTGGTCGCGTTATCAAGTTCCGTCAGATTTGTGAGCAACTGCAGCGTCGCACCAGCAAGCAGGACATTGAACAGCTGGGCAAGCTGATGCAGCAATCGCATCACAGTCTGCGCGAGCTCTACGAATGCTCCCATCCGGACTTGGAGCGTCTGGTGTCCCTATCTGCCAGGCAGGGCATCAGTGCACGTGTTACGGGTGCCGGGTGAGCTTTCAATTTGAATAATTCTAGAATATCAACTATTAATAGTTGTGGGTTTTTCAATTTGCAGCTGGGGCGGCTGCATTGTGGCCATGTGCGATTCGGCTGAGGTCGCCGCGGATTACGTAAGCATGCTCAAGCGTGAGTACTATGCTCAATTGCCAGTTCAGTTATTGGAGCGCTATCAGCCCAATGATTTCAATGATGTCGTCTTTGCCACAACTCCCGGCAACGGTGCCGAACTATTTGTACAATAATTCAACATAATTTTGTAAACTGTATATTACCATTAGTAAACCCTTAGTAGAAACCCAAGCATATTAGTTAAATTGTACTGGGTGGAGAAGTGTGGACAATGAAGGAGGAATCTACTAAACACCTTTTCGCATCAGATCTCTCATCCGATAACGATTCATAGATTAATACAATACACGAATCATCATATCATAAACATATGTATTAACAAATTACTAACTAAAATACAACAAGGCACATGTGGAATGGAAAATCTTCGGGCTTTTCTGTCTATCTGCGACTCAGATAGCCAGCGTTTTTGAAGAGCTTGTAGACCTGTTCACGGGGTATCTTTTCCGCCTCCCGATGCTGAACGGCCATCTCCTTGCTTGTCAGCAGCGATGATTTGGCCAGATTGGCTGCAATCACCGGATCGTTGAAGAAACGTGCACTCTTCGAGAGTTCGGCGGGCAGTTCGGACTCCCATTGGGCATTCTGCACCACCGACGGATGCGCATCTGCTGTGGCGAAGCCCACATATGGTGATTCCGGCTCATATGATGCCTTCGCGGGCAGACCCAGCGTCTGATGATAAAGAAACTGAGCCTGCACAGCCGTCAGGAGCAGCAGGAGGCAGCTGAGGAGCAAGGAAACTTGGCGGGAGGACAACATGATCGCTGCAAGAGACAGAGACGAGGAGAAGTTTTTGGTCAAGCAACCATTCTATTTTGAGATAATTGAAAGTTAATAAATGATACGCCTGATTTATGGACGCGTTTCGGTTACAGTGGCAGTGGCAGTTTTTAATCTGCGGCAAGTGGAGGCTGTCAGTTATGTGCGTCATAAATTATTTACGGAAAAATCAATTATCGCGGCAACAAGTGGAGCGACTAGACGCCATTCAGGCAATAACCACGACTCAACCTGCAGTTGCAGCATGTGGCATTGTTGCTGTAGCTGTTATTGTTGTTGTCGTTGCTGTTGTTGTAGCAGCAACAGGCGTTTTATCCATGAACTTTTTGCAAATGACGTTTTTTGTTTTGTTTGGTGATAACACAATTGACTGTGACAGCTTGCAGCCTGTTTTAATTGTCGTCACCGTGCTCCACTTTAGCCATGGCACAAGCTATTCGATAGTCTTAGTCTTGGTCTTGGTCACAATGTATTTGAAAAACAATTAAATAATTTACATAATCAGAAAATGACATTCACAATGCACACACTAAGCCAAAGTCAAGGTTCCACATGGAAAACCCACTCAACACTTCTTAACAGTCTTTATAGATGTCAGCTTTTTGGATTACAATCTGAATTGTTTTTCATTTGACGCCCACAACTTATAAATGGCTCACAATGTGCACACAACTGGAGGTGGAAGTGGAAGCTGCTGCAGCCGGCTGGCAGAGTTGAAACTGAAACTGTAACTGAACTTAGAATAGCGAGGTGGCGTTGTTTTATGTGCTCGCCGTTGAATGCCACAAGAACGAGTTTCACTCACTTCTCCTCGCATCGAGACGAATGCGCAACGAAAAGCGCTCAAAGTTGTCGCCAAAGCGCTCAAAAAAAAGGCTGATTTGGGGTTTATTTATTTGTTCGAAATTAATTGCGAATGAAAGAGCAGCATAGTGTAAAATAGTTAGCCTTATGCTGACCTAGGCCTAGGCCATATATTTTTTCCTTTTTTTTTTAGTATGAGCAATTAAAAACGTGAGTTTTTTCAGCCGTGTAAAGTTTCTCATGCTCCACAAAATGCCCGCCAAAAAAGGTCGCGAGTTTTGCCGGGTGCTGCTTTTTGGTCAATTACGCACAGCAAACATAAACATATACAACAACAATAAATACAAATTTTACACAACAGACAGAGACTTACAATTGTATAGCATGTGCTTTATTTGCTTAGAATCCGAATTCAAATCTATTGCGATTTCGAGTTTTGAAAGTGTTGACTGACCCTGAAATTGAATGCTGCTCAACTAACTCGACTGCGGTCTGAGTTGGTGTTGTACGTGGAGCTGCACATGTTTGACCCTAATTCCTTGTTGTCGTTGCTTGGAGCTCAGATGACGGGGTTATTCAACCGTCAATCGTCAACCGTCATCTGTCAGCTGATGCGGAAGCTGCCAAATCGGAGGCGGTGCTCGCTGCTCGGGGTGGGGCTATCTTTTTGCTCTGTCTTTTTGGGATCGCCTTGAACTTTAGCGTGTAGGTGGCACAGGTGCGTATCTTATATCTTGTATCTTGTATCTCGATGTTTCTTTGTGGTATTTACATTGTTTTGTTCGCTTTGCTTCAGGGTGTGGTCCAACAAATTGGTGTTAATTTATTAGCCGTGTCGAATTTGATATTTAATTAATAGCCATTTTGTAGGTGCATATTAAACAAATATGTTTACACTGCATTGTTTTGGCATGCAACCTTAATAATAATGTTAATAACTGTGAACTTTTGTAGATTTGATCTAAATAAATTGCGCTGCAATTATCATTTGTTCTTAATACTCATTTTCTAATAGTGATTAATTTTGTGGATTTTAAGCTAAACGACTACTTTCATTTTGTTATAGATACAGTCATTTCTGGGCAGCCTTCAAACATTATTTATATTTATATATTCACACAGCACCTTAACCCACACACTCGCAAGCACATACACATACATTTGAAGCTCAAACGCACTCAGTTGGATGCAGTGCAGCTGTGCTGCTCGCACCAAGGACATCGCATGCAATTTCAAGTGCACGCCAAGTTACGGCGCGCAATGCAAACGACAATGCAAAGCAGAATGCGGAGTATGAGCGAAATTGCATCCGCTTTGCCTTTGACTCTCTAATGCTCTGAGTAAAAGTTTGCACTGGCCCTGCCTTGAGTGCAGTAACTACTAATAAGAGAGAGCGAGCGACCTCCAATGTCTACCGGCTTTCAAATGCAATTAGAATGGTGAGAGAAGCATAGATAGACAAAGACAGAGAGAGTGAGAGAGGCAGAGTGAACGTTTTTTGCTCTCGCTGCCTCTCTTGATTTGCACTTGAGTGGTATGTGTGTGTATGTGTGTTGGTGAATGCATTCTCGGTGCAATGGGCAAAGTTGTATTGACGTTCAGTGGCTCAGTTGTCGTTGTGCAGCTCGCAGCGCGGTTTCTAAGTTGATGCAGTGCAACGCATTTTGCAACAATAACAAAAACAGCAACAAGCAACCAAATTGAAAACGAAAATTTCTTTTGGTGGCACATAAAGAAGCAAAAATCAATGGCATAGGCAAAAATAATTATTATACAATAAAAATACTGCATGTAAGAGCATGAGCTGTGCCCAATTGAAAAACTGTGTCACTGGCGCAATGTCTCTAAAATGCTGCACTTGCTCAAACCAATAAATTCGGCACACAATTCGCTATTCGACACCAATTCAGACTGCCAATCAGTTGCGATCGGGCGACAAAATGGCAACAATTGAGCTGACAACAACAACAACAACAACGGCAACAGGATCATCAAATGGCATCATTTCATTGGCCGGCATTAGTCCCTATGAGGAAGACGTTGAGTATTTGCGCAAATTGTTTCGCGATAAGAATCTGTTCAACTTTGACATTGAGCAAATTGCGTGCAGCGCGGGCAGCAGCAGCGGCGACAATTACATGTCCTTGGTGAAGCGTGTCACAATTTACGATGCGAGGACAACGAAAGGCGACAGTGAAATGGGTAAAGGATGCTGTAGCAGTACCAAATTCAACTCAATCTATTGATTATCACTATTATTTTTATTTTGTTTTGCTTTGGTGTTGCTGTTGTGGCTGCTACACATTTAGCGGCGGCATCAGCTGACCTTGTTACGCGAATTCTAAATGCCTAGATATACATATATACATACATACACATATACACATATACATATGTATGCTCATATGTAATATACATTTGCTAAAGGTCAACACGCATACTCACACCCACACTCATACACACAATCAGCAATTGAGCGATTCTCTCTCTCTCTCTCTCACACACACACACACATTCATCACTACCGAAAGAGCAAACAATTTTCATTCATAAATTTTACTACGGCACGTAAACAATAAACAGCTGTTCAGCTGCAGGAGAACCGTTGCTCAAAGAGAGCGCTCGCGAAAGAGAGAGAGAGAGAGAGTGAGTTAAGCGTTTGCTCGCTCTTTCATTGTTTTGCTTTGTTTTTAATATTTACTTATTCTTTGTTATTCTGTTTTTTTAGCCGTCGCCGCAGCAAGCTGCTCGGTCATCGTCAAGCGTCAAATTGCGAGCATCTCTCGCCGTCAGCTTTACCGTTGCGAGGAGGCGTTCACCAATGAGATCAATGTGTATAGGCACGTGGTGCCGCTGCTCTGTCGCTACAGTCGCCAACCGCTGTTCCCGCAGTGCCACATCGCCGCCACAGACGATGGCAGTCCCAGTGGCGAGCCCATAATTGTGCTCGAGGACCTCAAGGCATTGGGATTCCGCATGAAGAACAGAATGGCTTGCCTGGAGCTGCGACATTGTCTACTGGTCACTAAGGTCGGTGACTGGGCATAATCCTTGCACACCATATATATAGCTATATACTCGTATGATCTCTTCCAGAAACTGGCACAGTTGCATGCCGCTTCGCTTGCCGCCCAGCAGCTGGAATCCGCTCATTTTGCGGAGCAGTGCGCGCACATGAGCGAAATTGTTTATTGCCCGGATGCGGAGGATTTTTACTCACGTATACTGGACACATCGGTGCAGCAGGCGCTTGACAGCCTCAATGCCTCCAATGCGAATGGTGAACTGTCGACACCCATTCGCCTTATTGAGCAGCTGCGACCGAAGCTCTTTGGCCAGCTACAGCACAGCATCAATGCGGCGGCAGCAACGCCATTCAGCGTGGTCTGCCACGGTGACTTGTGGCTGAATAATCTAATGTTTCGCTCGCAACCCGACGAGGTCATCTTTTTCGATCTGCAGGCGATGCGATGTACCTCGCCCGTCTTTGATATACTGCATTTCATTTACACCAGCACGCGGCGGCATTTGCGCGATGTCCACACGGACACATTGCTGGCTTCCTATGCTGATGCACTGCATCGGGAGCTGGGCCAGCAGTTGAGGCATACTCCGGCTGCGAATCAGTTGGCTGAATTGTGTGAGACATTTTCGCTGCAGCGGATCAGCGAGGACTATGTGCGTCATGTGCACTATGGACTGGCCATATCGATGTGGATATTGCCAGCGGTCACTTTCGATCCCGACAACATACCCGATCTAGATGTGATAAGCGAACAGAATCTAAACGGCAAAGAGATTAACTGTACGCAGAAGCTGACGCCGGAGTACCATCAGCGGATCAAAGAATTGGCGCTGGAGTTCTACGAGCATGGCTATCTGGACGTATAAATATATTTAGTATTCATAGTTATATAATCATTGGATCTAGGTTGTTTTCTTCTCAATCAATTGGAGGATGCAGCATTCCATTTAGAGAACAATCCAAAATGGGATTCAGTTAGATGAGCAATAACAAAGACAATTGCCACACTTGTTTAGCTTCCTTTATTACCAAAATATCCTCACTATTGTAACTTAAACTTTGCCGATAAATCTTGTTTGTTGTTGGTAGTCGTATTTATACTAAAAGAAAAGCCAGTATCTAAAAGCAAAAACAATAATGAAACGTTCAAACTACATTGGCAGTTTGACGTCTTTTCTATAAAAGCAACATCAACATGGAATTTTATACGAGGGGGCTTTCGAGTTTTGATCATGCAGTTGAGGTCTCACTTATTGCCACCGCCACCCCAGCCGAGGAAGCCCTTGACGAAGCCCGTTATGGAGGCACCCTTCTTGCCCGGCGACTCGAGTTTGTCCTCCAGCGATGGCAACTCCAAGTAGTTCATGGCCAAGTCAAAGAATAGCGGCTTGCAGGGTATGGGTTCCATGTCGGGCGTCAGCTTAAACACATTGGGTGATCGGGTGTGCAGCGATTGATCCTCCTTGTATTGGGAGAGGCGCTCGTAGAGTGGTTTCGTTGTTTTCTGCGACTTGGTCGAGACACCGGCGGCATCCTCGCTATTGTCATCCTCCAGCACACTGTACGCATGGGCCGAGAACTTGCTGCCATCGATTGAGGAAAGCATTCGCTTAAGCTCCGATTGCATTTGGAATTCGGCACAGGGTTTGCCCTTGAGCGCATCGTTGGCATAGTTGGAGGCGCGTTCGTATAGCGCCACGGCCTCCTTCCACTTTTTCATGTCGATGAGCGTGAGCGCAATGTAATAGCAGCGGAAAGCCTTAAATGTGTGAGCCAAATTGGCCACCTCGCCCTGATACTGAGCATCATCCTCCATGCCGCTGATCTGCTGCATTTCAGTGACATTCTGCAAGATTATCTCGTATAGACGTGCCAAATCCTGCGGACGCACACGTTTGCCATCGGTCTGAGTTTGGCTCTGCTGCTGATTGGGATCATCAAAGTTCAACTTGGCCTGTGCAAATAAGAAATTAGAGTTAAACGTTAACAATTGGTCCTTGGAGTCTTCGCACCTGATCAACCAAACACAAATTGCGCTGTAGAGTACGGCTGTGGCGAATGTAGCTCAGATATGCCAGCAAATACTGTACGCCAGAGACCGTTTGACCAGTGGTCAGGGAGCGCAGCTTGGGATCCTGTTTGATCTCGTCCCGCACTGCCTGGATGGCATCCTTGCAATCCATCAAAATGCGTTCGATCAGCTCAATCTTGCCATCCAGTTTCGTTGTCTTTGCCAGTGATTTATCCAGCTCCTGTGCACTGAGCAAAAACAAACGCACCTTCTCCGGCCGCACGGTTACCTTGCGACCACGCCAGTCAATTGTCTGCAGTCCCTCGCTGCTCTCGGACTTCGTTTGGCTCACCAGCACATCTAAGTTCTCCAGAACACCCTGGGCACGCAACTCGAGGATTTCATCGATCTTGCCACCGCTGGCCCCGCCACTAATGTTGTACGCGCAATAGCGCAAATTGGGCGTGAACTCATTGACTTTGGCGCGATACAGCTCCTGATCGTCGTCGGGCAGCGCCTTGGCCAAATTCTCATACACCACCTGGGCGCGTTTTAAATGCTCACCAGCCGAATCCCACAGCTGCAGTTCAAAGTGCAAACTGCCATGCATCCAGGCCACATATGCCTCGCACTCCAGCTTGGTGCGTGCATCGAACGCCTCCGTCTATCAATCAAAGAGTGATAATTGGTGGTATTCAGTGGATAGGGACATTCACTTACATTGCACAGCTCCTGCAATTGAAGAGCATAGAAACAGGCGCGTCGCAGTTTGTTAATCAGGTGGAAACGCTTTCGCTGCTCCGTGTTGGCCTCCTGTTTTAGCTGCATCGCATATGCCCAGGCGCGTTCCGCACTTATCAACGGTATGTGTATGAAACGCTCGTCGGCCTTCTTGCCCGTCAGCTGGCTGAGCGTCACATCGCGACGCTTGAAGTGACGCTTGTCGCCCTGGGGATACTTGAGGGCCTTGCGCAGACGGCGAATGCGGCGTGTGCAGTAGCCGCGATAACGTTGATAATCACCATGTCGGAGGCCATGCTGTTGCTGGGCATCCTTGATCATATGCAGTACTGCAATTTTTGTGAAAGTTAATTTATTTTCACAAATGCACAGATTTTTAGGTTAATTGTCAGTGCAGCTCCCCTTGCTGGAAGGGGGGCCTCACACTGCGCCACTCACTTTCAACAGTGAAGATTTTCACTGGTTCCGGCACGGCTGTGACACTGTCCGCTTTCTCGACACTTTCTGTTCCATTATTTGGACTTGGCTCCTCGACAACCATTGTTTTAGCAATACCAGCTATACAGCTACAACGTGTAAATAGCCACGGATTAGTATAAAATATACGAATACACGACAGTCGGGTCGTCAAACGTAAACGTCATCATTGTTTTCGATTCCAGGGATGGTACTTCATAAAATGCAAGTATCGATATTTTACAATTTACAATAACAACATTACTATTAATTTGAGGCGAGCGCACGCTAACAGGCAGTCAAATTTGTACAGTACGTAAGCTTAAACATTTCAAAGATAGTTTTAAAGTAGTATTCATTTATGTTAGACCTGTTTCAGTTTGTATAAATTGTTATCGTTTGCGTCTATCGATGCTTTTGTTGCTTGCTTGCCATTACCCACCACTAGCAAGTAGTATCGTGCACTCCCTTTGAAACTTGTTGGCTGACAACGCAAGAGCGTGCGTTGACGTTCTGCTTCTTTTAAATCAATTTCAGCCAAGTTCACAGGTAATTTTCAAGTGAATTTCTATGAATATCAAATCACAGCATTCCGGACAATGCATTAATTGTCAGAGCTCATGCATATAAGTGCTGAAAGCAACTGCTTTGAGGTTATACTTTCACTGTTCAAGGCACACCCCCCTCAACCAGACAACCCTTCCCCTTCACGGTGCATTGGCTTTGTTTTGACGGACGTCTTTTTGACAACGTTGCAAACGTGCGCGCAGCTCTAAATACAAATTGATAATGTGAAACTTGTAATTAAAAAAAGTACTTTTTCTTTGCACAGCATGTCGCGCAGGAGGGAGAATGAGGAAACGGACAAGCAGACGCGTATTGCGATTGTCAGCGATGACAAATGCAAACCGAAACGTTGTCGCCAGGAGTGCAAGAAATCCTGTCCGGTGGTGCGCATGGGCAAGCTATGCATTGAGGTGACGCCCACATCGAAGATAGCCTCTCTATCCGAGGAGCTTTGCATCGGTTGCGGTATCTGTGTCAAGGTGAGCAGACTCCCCTGCCAACCAAACAGCTGTTAAACGTTTCTCTTTCTTCTGTAGAAATGTCCATTTGAGGCCATCACAATTATCAACTTGCCCAGCAACTTGGAGAAGCACACAACGCATCGTTATAGCAAAAACTCGTTCAAGCTCCATCGCCTGCCCATTCCACGACCGGGTGAGGTTCTGGGTTTGGTTGGCCAAAACGGTATTGGCAAGTCGACGGCGCTGAAGATTCTAGCTGGCAAGCAAAAACCCAATTTGGGCAAATATGCCAATCCGCCCGACTGGACGGAAATTCTGACTTATTTCCGCGGCTCGGAGCTGCAGAACTACTTTACCAAGATATTGGAGGATAACCTAAAGGCGCTGGTCAAGCCGCAGTATGTGGATCAGATTCCTAAAGCGGTGCGTGGCACTGTCGGCGATTTGCTGGACAAGAAGGATGAGCGGGATCTGCAGACGAAAATCTGTGATATGCTGGACCTGTCCCACATACGCGATCGTGAGATTTCCCAGCTGTCTGGTGGTGAACTGCAGCGCTTCGCTATTGCCATGGTGTGCATACAGAATGCTGACATCTTCATGTTCGACGAGCCATCCTCGTATTTGGATGTTAAGCAGCGTCTGAACGCTGCTCTTACCGTTCGCTCTCTGCTGCATCCGACCAAGTAAGTGTGCCATTTAGTGGATAAAGTCTCTCTTTCTCTCTTAAGCTAATCGTTTATTTTTCGATAGATTCATCATTGTTGTGGAGCATGATTTGTCTGTGCTGGATTATCTGTCAGATTTCATCTGCTGTCTGTATGGCGTGCCCGGTTGTTATGGTGTTGTTACTATGCCCTTCTCGGTGCGTGAAGGCATCAACATTTTCCTGGACGGTTTTGTGCCCACGGAGAATATGCGTTTCCGCACAGAATCGCTCACGTTTAAGGTATCCGAATCGGCTACGGAGGAGGAGATCAAGCGAATGAATCACTACGTCTATCCATCCATGGTCAAAACTCTCGGCAACTTTGAGTTGACTGTGCAGCAGGGTCACTTCAGTGACTCCGAGATCCTGGTGTTACTCGGCGAGAATGGTACGGGCAAGACGACGTTCATTCGAATGCTGGCTGGTAATCTGCAGCCGGATGGTGAAGTCGAACTACCCATGTTGAATATATCGTACAAGCCGCAAAAGATATCACCGAAATTCCAAAATCATGTGCGACACTTGCTGCACGACAAGATTCGGGATGCATACGTGCATCCGCAGTTCATGGCAGACGTCATGAAGCCCATGAAAATCGAGGAGATCATGGATCAGGAAGTGCAAAATCTTTCCGGTGGTGAATTGCAGCGCGTGGCACTGGTGCTCTGCCTGGGCAAGCCCGCCGATGTCTACCTAATTGATGAACCCTCTGCCTACTTGGATTCGGAGCAGCGTCTGGTCGCTGCCAAGGTGATTAAACGGTGTGTATTGATTTTCTCTGATTGTTAGTTGGGTTTTTATTAACAACTTGCTTCTCATTGCAGTTACATTTTGCATGCGAAGAAGACTGGCTTTGTGGTGGAGCACGATTTCATTATGGCCACGTATCTCGCTGATCGTGTCATTGTCATTGAGGGTCAACCCTCGGTGAAGACAACCGCATACTCGCCTCAATCGCTGCTCAATGGCATGAATCGATTCCTTGAACTGCTCGGCATTACCTTCCGACGAGATCCGAACAATTTTAGACCCCGCATCAATAAGAACAACTCGGTCAAGGATACGGAACAGAAGCGCTCTGGTCAATTCTTCTTCTTGGAGGATGAGTTTTCAGGTTAAGACAGTTCAAAAATTAGAACACCATACAACAAACATAAAATATGCAATTTTGCGTATTTGAAATTTGATTGCCGTCAGCTTTGTTGGAGAACTCGGTTTTATTCAATTCGATTCGCTTGCTGTCGCGTTTTCTGTCCAAAAGTTACTTTGTCCTTTTCATTTTTGCATTTTTTAAACAATGAACACACCTTTCAATATTTTTATTTTCATTGTTGTGCAAAATAATGAATAATCGACCATAATGAAAGTTCTTTATATAGTGAGTTTTTATACATTACCGAAAATAAACGATACAAACACAAAACAACAACAATAGGAAAGTCAAATTTGTATAGTGAAAATAAATTAATTTACTTTATAGAAAACGGCAAAATGCACCGAGTTTTATTAATTCTTGAAATAAATTCTCAATAAACTCAAATATTTCAGAGCAACAGGTGTCGGCGATGCACTGTGAATGGCAAATTTGCTATGGTTGTGCACAGAAAGGGGTTGGGGGTTGTAAATAATTGTTTGGGTGGCTTTTTTTGCAAAATAATACATATTTATTGCACTTATTGGTTAGTTAGCATATTACACACAAATACGCACAATTGAAATGCATATATAAATATGCATATAAATTACATAAGGATTTCAATGATTTCAAATACGATCACAATTCGAAACAAATATACAATAATGCTGCATATAGCATACTATCTAAAACACATTTATATTAATACATACATAGTTGGACATTTATAGAGCAACGGCTTAATTCATTTGTTATTTCTTTGTATTTTTATCGATTCGATTTTATAAACGCTTTCTAAGCAATAAAATTTATGCGATTCAATCAAAATGTACAAAATACCAACGCTTCGAAAAAGGCAAATCTTTGAATATTACAATGCTAAATTTGATCTGTGGCTTAACGGCTTGCATCATCATCATTATTAAGTACTAAATAGTAGATTTTAAGACTTATTTCACTAAAAATTCAATACAAGTAAATGCGTCAAAAATTGACTCAAATTGTTAAACATTTGATGTGCATTGTGTTATTATAAGAGAGCTCCGTTCCAGTACATTGAGAGTGTGAGAGATCGCTTTACAAAATACAAATAGAGAGCATCAGTTTAAAACATTCATTTCATTTCTATATAGAATTCATACAAGTTAAATGGACACTGTCAAAAATATTGAGAATCTGTTCTGATCCAAAAGCAGATCTTTCTACATATCTGTGTCTGTGTGTTTTTTGTTCATTATCTTTTCTATTCAGCAACATTTATAAATGGAACTTGTAGGGACTTATTCGTTAGTGTTTAACATTTTTTTTTTTTACAAAATAAGATTTGCTTATATAATTGATTGATTTAAAATGGCTACCAGAAAGTATCAAAAATAAGTGTATATATTGTATATATATGTTAATAGAGAGAGAGACACGCAGAGCATCAACTCATGCATTATCCTTATCGTTCATTAGCGCCATCACTTCCTGACTTAACTCCACAGCCTGTTTGCGCAACTTGAGAGCCTTCAAATGCAATTCGTTTTATAATGCAATTATCATTAAAGCTATGTGTGAAGAAGACTTACCTGAGTTCTCAGCTCCTTTTCGCATGTGACCAGCTCCTGTATTTGTGCCATCGTCGTTGACAAATTCTGTTGATCAATCATCCAACGCAAATAGAGTTCTGTGCACATATAAAATATACACGTTTTTAAGCAACAAGTTTTTCGATATGGATTAATATGAATAACGAACCACTCCACAATTCCAAGCTAATGGGCGCCACCGAGGGCCAGATGACACTGGCATTTGGCTCATACAGCGGATTTAGCAAGGTCTGCAGGACATCAGGTCGATTTAGGTACGACCAGAGGCTCGTTGTCCTGGTGTGCACCTGAAGCTCATTTCGCTCCCGTTCCGAGTCGCAGAGGAAGGTGCCATATTGCGAGAAGTAGCTGTGCTCGAACAGCAATATCAGCAGCTGTGTGCTAAACTCGAAACTGCACGGAAACTGCGTGTGCAGCTGAAAGATGCAGTCCAAGAACAGCACAAAGGTGGCGCCCGAGTTCTTGTTGCGCATCTGCTGCGGCGTGTAGCAGGAATACCGATGCCGTGAGGCAAACGGATGACCCGCCTGTATCCATTCGCGCTCAATCAAGGCTTGCAAACTGCAAATGGATATCAGATAATTATAGTATATAAAAGATTGCGGACATTACTGACCCGCGTACAGTGCGGCAATCTGGATTGAGAATGATCTGCACTAGCGATGTGACAATCAGCGTCGAGTCCAGACCCTTGGCACCGTGCACCAGCACTGGGCTGCCCTCCTGATCCAGACACTGGGCGACCACGCAGGATGCATTCAAAGAATTGAGCACCAAGCTGAGCCAGCCGCTGTTCTCCAGCCGCGAGAGCCATTTGTCCGTGCTGCAGCCAATGTCATTGCAGGCCTCGATCAGTTTGGCAAAGCTATCCAAAATGGAGGCAGGCGAACTGACATTGCCAATGGCCCGATTCACCTTCTTCCACTGTGAGTAGTGCAAATCTGTCTCAGTGTTGGACTTGCCCTTGCCCCACGTGTCCACAATGAAACCCTTTTTGCTGCGTCCCAGCACCAAATTGAGTATGGCCTCGTCGGCCCGACACCGCTTGATGCCTTGTATGGACAGTGGTTGGGCGCTGCGCATCAGCGTTGCCTGTGTGCAGAGTAGAAATTCAATTAAACAATGCAACTCAATTATGTGCATAATGCAATTAAAACGTACGCCATTCTCATGCCGGTAGCTGAGCACGGGAAAGCGTCCGCCATCGCGGAATGCGGCGGAGAGTGCGATTTGTTCGTCGCTAATTGCTTTAGGTACAATCAGTGTGGCGCCATATGTGGCACAGACGCCAAAGTCTTTGTTGACGTGGCTGACGCGCCACTCGCAGGCGGACACACAACTTCCGCTTCCGCACCCACTCCCACCCCCGCTGCTCCCCAATGCAGCCACGGCGTCCAGCGCAAAGCCATTCTGCAGCGGATGTGGTATGGGCGTCGATGTTGAGGGCGTGCATATTGTGATATTTGCCACATTCGGCGACGAGGCGCCGCCCATGCTCAGTCCACTGATAAGCTGGGCAAATTCCAACTCCGGCCTGCAAATCAAATGGGTTAAGACGAGCCTTATATCAGCAGTTTTCGAACGCACCTGAACATGGTGTAGCCATCCTCCAGTATGGAATACATGGGCCTGTAGAAGAACGGATAGTCCAGCTCGGCATTCTGGATTTGACTGAGCGCCTCCAGCGATGCGGCCACATTGAAAAAGTCTTTGGCATACTTAATCTCCAGCGATATAATGCGCAGATCCTTGCACCTCAGCGTTATCAGGCCACCCATCACAATGTTCTGGCCCATGCTCGGTCTTTTCTCGACGCAATCGATGTTCTTGTGCAGCAGCTGCATTCATGGAATAATAGAATAATTGAATCAAGTAAACAGCGCTTAATTGATAACTTTACGCTACGCTGGGCAACGCTGCACTGCACCCACCCATAGCTCCTGTGTGTTCTCCTGGCGTGCGCTGAGCAGCAAATGGTGTCCCGTTATGCACAGGGTGCCCTCAACTGTTGCATTCGCTGCTGTTGTTGTTGCTGATGATGTTGCTGCTGCATTCACATGCAGGAAGACCCCATCTAATTTGGGTGTTTTTATTAGATCAGCGAACTCCATGTCATCCACTCAGCACCCACCACCCACTGACTTGAAACACAGCCTCACACACACACACACGCACACACACGTGCACACACAATTCGCGGCTGACCACCCAGAGAGCGGTGATTTTGTTCACACTAATTAACTTTTTGCATTTTCCTGTGGCGCTGCTTTGTTGTCGTCGTTGTTGCCACTTGATTGCTTCTTCTTCCGTTCTGCCCACCTTTGGCTCTTTCTCCTTTCTATGCCGCACGGGCAACACAAGCAGCAGTGGGGGCGTTTTTCAGAGTAACAAATCTATGCTTGCGTTACTTTATTGTTGCATTATTATATTAGCAATCGGTAAATACGCCATTAAAATTTGTCTACTATTTGGGTATTCGATTTTATCACCAAAATAGACTTTTAGTTAATTTCGTGAGAGAGATAACGGTGTGTGGTCATTCACAGCGAAACGCGGACACACCATGAACACAGTTCACGCAGCCGTCATTCTTGAGCGGAGCGAACGCCGTTCAAAAAAGTTATTCGTGCAAGCAGCCCAGTTGCGCGCGCAATTCAAATGAGAAAAACTATCGTTATTAATTTAACTTCACATATGTATATATATAAATATTTATTCATACTTAAAAGTTGATTTCAAAAGGTTTGTTTACAAAAAATAGGGAAGTTATCCGTTTTGTCTGTTCCATGGCATTGAAACCAACCACAACGCTTGTCAGTGTATTTGTCTTTCAGGCTTATAAGCTACGGTTTCATTTGTCTACTTTTTATCCTTGGGATTGTGAGAGATTTTGAATTTCAAACATAATAGAAAATATATGTATGTATCGCAAGGTTTTTCTTTCTTGTAGTTTTTGGAAAAAAATTGCTTCTCTGTTAATTGTCACAATACGAATATATAAATACTTAACAGCTTGTAACGTACAATAAATGTATGTATGTATGTATTGCAAATATACGCATCAACCAACTAACACACATTAAAAAGAGATGTATAATTTATGCATTTTATTTCCGCATAAGATATCACAACAGGATGCCCAAAATTGCCTAAAGCACGATAGAATGAGGTACTAAATTGGAAAAATCAAGCGACATTATAATAAATACTTAAAAACAAAAAAAAACTTGCATAAATTTCGAATTAAAAATAGAAAAAATGAAAGGAAATCATTGGCGATACGCTTTATTTTCTCGCTAAAAAAATATGCTTTTCGATTCTTTGTACCAACAACTTAAGCTACGTTTACATAATAAAATTATACTAAAATTAGGCGCTTATAACGAAAATTATAAATGAACCGAACTGCAAATGAATTTTCTTAGCAATGAAAAAAATGTTTTCTGGTTTTCGATTGTTTGTTAAATGTAACTATGTATGTATATGTATATGTAAATATGTATGTATGTTAAATGTGTATGTACATTATGCGACATTAGAGCAAAAAAGAAATGCACAAAGAAATTGGAATGCATAAACAAAACTCAAGGTATGTGTAAAAATGGAAGACATTTATGCAATGAAGAATATATATAAATATATACGTGGATAAACAAAACTAAATATGGCAATTGACAAAAAAATATGTATGTATTTATGTATTATTAAACATAATTATTACGCAATATTGGAAGAGCTTTGGAAACAAATCGGTGGAAGTTAGTTAATAAGCTAACAAACATAATTTTGCATTAACAATATACTTTCTTTTTTTGTTTTTGTATCATTAAATTTAACATGAGAAATTAAATGCATTCAATAAATATGTATGTATGTATGTATGTATGTAAAATGGAAGTAAATTTGTTCTTAACAATGCTTCGTTTTGTTTTCGCTTGCTTCTGTGCCAGAGCTTTAAATACATATATGTAAGTATGTGTGTGTGTGTGTATGTGTATATATAACATTAGCTGTATGACAGTTAAATATATAACTATTTATGTGTGTGTGTGCGTGTGTAGATGTAATGTAAATGTACATGTGTGTGTGTGTGTGTTTATGCAAGTATATAGCATTTTTGTATATAATAATAGCGTTCACAATTTGCTAGAATTATGTGTGTGTGTGTGTGTGTTACTTAGATTAATCTTACAAATCTAGCTACACATTTAGATAGTTGCAATTTGTCTACGCCTAGCATAACTGGTATATATGTATATAGCAATATATATGTATATATAAATACATATATATATATATTTGTATATTTAGTATATAATTAAAGTATGTTTTAGGCTTAAGTATACTTTTTTGTTTGTTTGTTAGTTGGTTTGTTTTGCTATATACAACGTTTCATTTCACTACTACACTCGTATATTTGTATACATATAATTTATATATTTAATAGATTTTTTTTATAGAATTTATCTCAATTTTAAAATTCTTAGCAATTTTGGAGTTTGAGTTTTGTTTTGTTACTTTTTTTCTTTTTGTAATAGCGGCTTAAATAGTTATCAGTTATCAGTTGTTTTCTTGCTTGGGTATTTCTGCTTTACAAAATAAAGGTAGAAAAATTTGTGTGTGTGTTGTATAAATACATACAAATAATAAATAGGCTTAAACATTTAGATTTCGCTTGTTTTTGTTGTTAGACATTGGTGGTTTTTGCTTGCTTCTCAACCCCCGGTTCCGTTAGTAGTAGTATAAAATGTGTATAAAAATAGTTAATTCAAAAATCTTAGTTCTACACAATTTTTGTTGCTTGTTTGTTTGTTGTTTGAACCCTTAAAAACAAATGTTGAAGTTTAAAATTAGCACACGCTTAACTTTTGCTGTTGATGTTGTTGTTGTTGCTGCTTGGAAGTGTCTCGAAGTACATTTGTTGTCTGTCTGTCTGCCTGTGTATGTGTGTGTGGGTGGGTGTATGTGTGTGGGGGCAGTAGTTAAACCGTTAAACCCTTATGCGCATTCACCGCGTCAAAATGATCGCTCTGGGTATGGCAAACACGCAGTCTTGAATCGGTGGTGCAACAGCAGCAACTGTTGTTGCACCAGCACTTGTTGCCACTGCTGCTGCTAGGTTGACCACTGGTGAGACAGCTGCCACCACACTCGATGCCGTTGACGATGGACTGGAGGATGAGACATTGCCACAGCTATTGCTGCGATTGTTGTTATTATTATGGTTGTTGTGGCGCTGATTGCGCAATTGCTGCTGATATTGTTGAGGTTGCTGCTACTGCTGTTGATGTTGCTGCTGCTGTTGTTGCAATTGCAATCGATGCTGCTGGTTCTGCAGATTGTGCATGGTGTAGGCATTCACATTGATGGTGCTGTTGCTGCTGCTGTTTGTGGTTGCGGGCAAGGCGCGAACATGTTGCATTGGCGGCAACACAGGCTGCAACTGTTGCTGCTGCTGGAGTTGCAAGTGTTGCTGCTGCTGTTGCTGGTGATGATGCTGGAAATTCAATTGGCCGGCGGCGCGCATCATGTGCCAATAATTGTCATCGCCGATCGGTGCCTGCCGACTGCCGTATTTGAGCTTCCGGGTGATGCCCTGCTTGTAGTCGCGGTGATCCTTGTCGATGGCGTAGGCCTTCTCGCGCAGCTTCTCGATCGTCTTCTTGAATTCGACAAATGCCTGCGGCGACTGTTGTTGCTGCAACGCACTCGCAAGCGGCACCAGCGGATTGCTTTGCTGCTGTTGCTGCTGCTGTTGTTGCAGTGGCAGGGGCAGGTGTTGGCGATAGGCAAGCGGATCGAGCAACGCATCCAGCTGATTCATATTGGACATGATGAGCGTGTGTATGCGCTGCAAATCGAGTGCCGGATCCAGTGCAGTGACCAAATCCATTTGAAAGTAATCCATCTCCTTGGCGGAGACATTCTTGCAGCCGGGCGCATTCTCATCGGAACGGCCGCAACAGCTGTAATAGCCACTGATGAAAGCGGAGGGATGAAAGTATTGCATGCGGATGGAATTCATCAGACAGATCTTGTGGAGTAAATCGAACCATTCGCGCTCCTCAACGCAGTTCGTCGTCTGTACGATTAGCGGGCGGTCTTTGTGCACGATCTGTGGACAAACGGAAAATTATTGTTATTATGTAAATCAAAAATTAAATTTGCCTTGTTCTTTTCACTATGCAAATTTAAACATTCTGCTGGTAAATAGTAAATAGTCAACTACAATTGTTGTGCGCCCAGTGAAATCGCTAATCGCAAATCGCAATTCACACGCGCAAAAGTCCCACGCGCCTCCAACGTAACCAAATTCTTTTGACTTCTTTAAGAGGTTTTGAAATTTCCCTTTTTTGTCGCCGCGAAAAACACAACAAATGAAGAAAAAGAATAACAATGGTTGGCAACAGTTGGCAGTTGAAAACAGTAGTAGCTGGTAGCTGGCAGCGTTGCCAACTCATTTTCATAATAATACTAATTATTTTTAATTGCTGGTTTTTGCCATTTACATAGACGCGACGCAACGCAACGCGTCTAAATGGGCATACAAATTATTAGTGAAAGTTTGTGCTGCTGGCTGTGATGATATGGAAACTACTGCTATTTCTGCTGCCCTTTTGCAAATACAACTGATTTTCTTTTCTATTTTTTCACTTTCAGTGAAGCTGAGCAGCGTATCAAGTGACAGTTGGAACTCGCCGCGTTGCCAATTGCGCACTTATCGATAACTCGATGACGATGCCCAAAACTGCAGCAGCCCATACGCACACGGACACACACACACACACACGTAATGAGCTCTTTTGCATGTGTGGGCTGCTGCCTCCGCCTAATTTATTTATACAAAAAAAATACCTAAGAAAATGCATTTCCGGCATTATGTATTTGCATTATTATTGTTGTGAATTAATCTAGAACCAATCTGCATATGTCTGCAAGTGTATTTCAGCACATGCAACATTTGCCAATTGCAGCGAGGCGTGTCTGCATAAAAGAATGCCTGGTATGTTGTTCCTACACGTTGTAGCATTGTATTACACCATAGCACAAAGTTATCGAACGATAGATCTTTGATTGCAAGAATTAACTACTCTACTCACCTTGAAGCAGTTCTGCATTTTGAAGCTTTTGTCTTTCAATTGCTCAACGCTTCCGATTTCCTCGAGCGGTATATCACAGTTGGGTTGTTTGCCCTTCGACTTGGCATAGCTTAGCGAGTGGGTTGTCAGGCGAAAGTAACGTTGCTTAAACTGGCGTCCAAAGCGTTTTCGGCTTGTCGGATATTTGGTCATCATGCTGCGCGTGGTACGCGTGAGTGTGTGAGAGCGAGCGAGAGTCGAGTGGGGAGGGGGAAGACACGCACACACACACACACATAGCAAAGGAAGATAGAAAGAGAACGAAAAAAACAACAAATGAGCAAATGTTATGCATTTAATGCTCAAAATTAATGGGTTGTTTGTAATCCAACAATATATATATATATATATATATTTAGAGTACCAACATATGTATAAGAAAAAACAATAACGGTTCTAAAATTAAAAAAAAAGTTTCTCTTACCCCTCGCTAGACGTTAGTATTTAAATTTGTATGTGCGAATGTGTTTTTTAGACGAGTGGTGAGTGCGTGTCGTGTGTGTGTAAATTTATGTATGTATTGTGTGTATGCATTTTGTTGAGGGTGTTGTTGTTGTGTGTGTGATGGTAATTTTTGTTGTTGTTGGTTGGTTGGTGATGAGATGGATTTTGTTTGTTTTTTTTTTTTATAAAGCAGCACGCGCGTAAAAGAAGAGAAAGATAAAGAAAGTTTTGTTGGTATTAGAATAAAAATAAAGCGTAATCAACCAAATGTAGTGTATACGAAATTTGGGAAATGTACGTAAACAACGCTAAGAAAGAGATAGAGAGAGAGAGAGGGAGAGACAACAATCGATAGGCGCAACAATTGAATACAGCAGCTTATGGCAATTTAGAACCGTCCAATTTCAAAGTCTCTATGTGTAATAATATTATTTTAATTATTCATCAAATCTATTTTGCATGTTCTAAACGTTGCTAATGTTTCTAATTTGATATCGAGCATTACAAAACGACTATCGATTGTTCTTCTCTACGGCTCTACTACTAAAAAGAGAGTTCAAGCTGAAATGGAAGAACTTACCCCTCCTTTAGTAATACTGGTTCAAGTGGCAACTGGGGCATTGTCGCTTGCAGCTGATTGCTGCCGGGCGACAACAAATCGCAGGTGGCATTTGGCGTCGAGATGACCTCGAGGAAATGTTTGACGGCATCCACATGCTTCTCCGTGCAAAATTTCTTGTACAGCTCGCCGGTGTATTCCTCCTTGCAGGTCTGCTGCGACGAACGCGAACTGACCAAATTGCCCAGCGATTGGATTGTTTTCGAGATGAGTGTCAGCGTCCGATTCGTTTGCGCATCCTGTAAAGAAATTGTGGACGAGGGATAAATACAATGGAGGGCGTGGACGAATTGGGAGTGTAAGACTCTCGTTGCTAAGAGTGTTTTTTGCTTACCAGTCGCTCTGTGGTCAGGTCAAACAGTTTGGGACCCAGTATGGCCGGTGCAAAGAATCGCAGAAAGATGAAGCCGGAAACGACGGAGAAGCGCACCTCGCGATTATGGGGGAAATGTTTGCCGGCACATTCGCGCAGATCGTGAAAGATCTGGCAGAGGACCTTCGGACAGCGTTCCGCACTCTTGGTAATAGCCTCGAATACCCGTTCCACATAATCCTTGAGATTGTGCAGATTTGTGTCCACAGCGGAGCGATCCTTCACCTTGCTGGGATCAATCTCGCAGGGTTTCTTCTCGGCGACAATTTGCGAGAGGACGGGACGCAGTGTCTGGTGCAGATAGTGCAGACCCGACAGTCGCATCGCCTCATCCATCATCTTGGAGACGAGCGTGTTGCCCCGAAAGATTGTCGTCGGATCTGTCAGATTGGAGATCTCATGATCCGCCAGCGCTTTGATAATCGGCGCAATGCGTTCCGTATGCGTGAAGAGACGCACTAGTGGCTGAGCCACCTCCGTCTTGCCCGAGACGAGTTCACCCAGTATGTAGACGGAGGAGAGGGTGATGGGTCGCTGATCCACCGATTCGAGCAGCAGATTCAAGAGATCATCATAGGTGGCCAGGGGGAATACATGATCGGCGGTGTAGTTCAGATTGAGACGCAACGAGCCAATTGTGGAGTCGACGCTGAGTCGCGTTCCCGGCGGCGTTGCACAGGAACGGGGAGTGGCATTCAGGGAGCGGCAACTCGGAGATGTGGTGCGTGGTTGCAGATAATACCAGGCGGCTGGCTGTACCGCCTGCTGTTGCTGCTTGTTAAGCATGGGTAGGCGCACCTCGCCGAGAAACACCTTGTCCGCCATGGCGCCGTGGGCGTCATGCCACAACGTCACCGCAATCTCGCAGAGATCAGCACCGCCCAGCGGATAAATCGCATACGCCTTGTTCGCCGATGATTCCAGCGATGCGGTGGATTTGTTGCTGTTGGTGGTGCCCGTGTTGTTGCCGCCGCCGGCGGAATCCGAGTCAATCGAGAGATCAAAGTACATGACCTCATCGAACTCCGGATCGACGGTCTTCTTGCGCTGCTTAGTCCGTTTCGTGATGATCTGCTTGTTGCTGTAGTATGCAGTGCAGATGACGAAGGGATCACAGGTGCCCTGCTTCTTGGCCAGATCCACACAGGCGGGCACACGAATTGCGACACGAACATTGCGCGCGGCATGCGTATTCTTCCAGTTCGCCAGCTGATCCGTGGAGGATGTGGCCACCAGTTGTTGCTGCTGCTGCTGATGATGTTGTTGCTGCTGTTGCTGCTGATGATGATGATGCACATGTCCAAAGAGTCCCGCACCGATAGTCTTCAGTGTCATGCCGGCCGTATTGCCGCTGGCAGCAGCCGCAGCCGCTGCAGCAGCGCGATGAATGTTGGTCAGTTCGTTATTCTCCTTGTAGTCGTTGAGATGGGCACGTGGATGATGATGATGATTTTGGCTATGATGATGATGATGATTGGGCAGCTGCAGCGAGTGCTGCTGCAACGTGTGCTCGACAATGCTGTCGCTTAGCGATTGGAGAATGGGAGGCACTTCCTCGAACGCCACCTCGATGTGCACCATGCCCTGCACCTCCGAATCGGAGTCGACAGGTCGCAGCGAGAACCAGTGATCCTTGTGATTGTATTTGTGCAACTCCTCCCGCTTAATGGCGATCTTGCCAATCGGTTTGTCCTGTTTCATATCCCGATCCCACACATATACGGACAGGTAGCGAAATCTTCGCGGAATTTTGAATTGATACTCCTCGCCAAAAAAGGGTGACAAGGTGCGCTCGCTAATGGGTGTCCGGCATATCTCCTCCTGATCCAGTGCAATGGTGCAGTAAACATCTCGTGTGCCCTGCGTGCTGCAGCTCGTATTCGCCGCATTCCGACTGCTGAGATTTTTTGCTTCGCCTGTGCAAAAAATAAACCAAACGAAAATGGGATAAAAAATGGAATTTTGTAAGTTTGAATTTAAATAAAATTGAAGTTGGCTGCGCTGCAATTGCATTAATTACAAAACTATCGAAAATTGTCAACTGTGGACAAAAGTGAGAAATTGTAATATCGAGAAAAGCTATCGATTGATATTGACACCTGCAAAAGTATCGAAATCGAGAAAATTGCCAAATGCTGACATATTTGAGTAAATGTGTTGTAATCGAGAAAAGCTATCGCTTGACCTTGACACCTGCAAAATCAGATTGCAAAATCTCTGATTGACGCGACTTGTGTTTAAACACAAAAAATACAATAAAACAATTTATTCAGCACATCATATTTGAGTTGAGCATTTTGTCGGCTCACTTTGATGCCGCCAAAGGGCAGGCCCGCCAGCAACGTGACTTCCTCTTCTCTGTGCATGTGTATGTGAGTGTGTGTTTTTCTGCGTGTGTATTTGTGCGTGTGCCGATAAATTGCATTATCGATGCGCAGCCACCTGGGCGCAAAACAGCAATACCAACAATGGCTGCAGCTTGACTAGACGGTCTGTCCCCGTCCCTGTCTCAAGCATTGAAAGTTAATAATAACAGTGCGCCTCTGTTGTTGTTGGTGCTCTTGCCTTGATAAGCCACGTTAATCAGGCAATGACCAGCGGCAGAGCCGGCAGGGGGAAGGGGGCGGTGCAAAGTTTGCTCAATGAAAAAAATTAGCAGCCGGCAGCCGCGCAGTCGAACGGAAATATAATGCGTATTCATTTCTGTATTTGTGTATGCGTATGTGTGTGGCGTCATGTAGGCAAGCAGGCATATGCACAGGCAAGAATGCAAAGGCAATGCGCAAAAATGTGCTTTGTGCTTTGAGCGCCTCTTTCACATGAAAGAGTGAGAAGGTGTCTTCGTCGTCTCCCATTCGGTCTTCCTTACTATTGACACAGCTGGCTGGGGAATAAGACAGCAATGTCTCTCTTTCTCTCTCGCTCTGTCAATTGGGTTATATTTGCCAGCTAGTAGTTGTGTACGTGTGTATTAGTAGCAAAACAACGGTGCTTTTACGCTCTGATGCGCTGTCGTCGTGTCTGTTCTCACTGTGTTGTCGTAAGAAAAAAAGAAAAAACACCAACAAATACGATTGATAACAAAAGACGTCGTCGTCGTCGCTGTTTTCGTCGTGGCATTCCGCGTTTCTTTTTATGAATGGGAAGCAACGTAAAGGCAAACAAACGACCAAGAAAGAAAAAACAGAGGCACATTTTATATATGCAAAAACACAAAGCACGAAAGAAAGCCACAGAAGAAGCACCCAAAATGAAATAAAATAAGAAACACAGCGACAACAACAACACAACACACAAATCAAATGACAAAAATCAAAAGTGCTTTTACTCGCTCTGTCCCTTTCTGGCCAGTGTCTGCTCGACGACAGTCAATTTCATTCATTCTCATTCGCATTCAGCATTCATTCATGATTCATGAATTGGCATCGCGCGCTGCTCTTGCGTCGTTTTCACATTTTTTCGCATCTGTTTTTGCTGCTGTTGTTGTTGCTTGTAGGGAATTCCAGCCAGTCAAAAAAGAACTGCCGAAATTCCGTAGTAGTTTTTTTTTTTTTTGGTGACGCTTTATTTATACCAAATTAATTTATGCGTGTTTTCGTTAGTTGTTATTGTTGTTGTTTTTGTTGCTCTGTTTCTTCTATTTATTGGGTGGCGTTATCTTGTGACAATAACCTAAAACACATCGGCGAATTCCATTTAAATTGACTCCAGCATTTGCTAAATTTAACCACAATGCCAATGCCAATATAAGCTATGGGGTTTTATGCCTAATAAGTGTTTATGTGTGTATGTCTGTTATAAAGTTGGCTGGTAGGCAAATACCCCACTACACTCAGATAACGAATTTCTAGTGAAGTTTTTGAATAGTGAATCGCGATATTATTAGTATTGTGGACTGTGATCGATCAATCGTATGATTTTCGAACGTCCTTCAATTCGATTCGGTTTACATTAAATGCGTATCATTTTACGTATGCCAAGCACGTCATATATAAAAAACAAGACGGGGGAACTGAATGAATTGGGCGAGGGCGAGGGGGGGAAGAACACTCAAACGGAAGTTAAGTCACTGCATTTTGAGAAGACGATGTTATTTATTTATTTTACGAAATATCAGAGGTATTGTGCATAGTCATATTTTTCAGATGAATTCCAACTGAGGTGCTTAAAACAGACAAATTCCGCGCTAGCATTTTGCATAGCAACAATTTCGTATAAGAATCGAGCGAGTTGGGGGTATTTTGTTGTTGTTTTTTATTATGAAATCTGTACTTGAAACGAATTAGTAATTATTACTGGGGTAGATATTGGGGTAATTGAAAATTAAATGGGGCAATTGGGCGGGCATATTGGTAAGCCGACTCAAAAAGTGCTCAACTTAATGTCTCTCTTTGGCAGTTCAATTTCAATCAGCTTATATGATGATTAGGGCGATATCTTTCTTTTAACTTTTGCCTAAAAGCCTAGTTGAGCTGTTTTTGTTTTTTTGTCTAATAATAGAAACGAGTATAATACACGTGTAGACACCATGTGGTCTGGTCTACTTCTAAAGCCAGCCGCACATCGAAATCAGTGTTGAGCAACACCCCGCACCCCCCACCACTTTGACATTTGCCCATGGAGCGTGTTGTGCCCCCGTCAATGTCATTCATGCGCACACAAAAAAATTACGACACGATTCGTGCTGCGAGAGAATCAAGTCTGTTTATAGATAACGACGACGGCCGGATTGTGGTGTATATGGTAAAAGAAAAAAGGGCCCGCCTTGCAACCAACAACAGACTCATCATTTAATGCTTTCAATTTCCTTCCAGGCAGGCACCCAAAATGGCAAATGGAAATTAAATTTAAAGACTTTGTAAGTCGACTTCATTTCGAATGAAGTCTGTTTCTATCCCTATCTTTCTCTCTCGCTCCCATTCGCTTTTCCTTCACGTCTGTCTGTTTGTGTTTTCCTTTTTTGCACAATATGCAAATTGATTCAGTGCAGCATGAAAGGCGCGTGAATTAATGAGGCGATTACTTCTCAAGAGCAGTGCATAAAAGTGAAAAACAAAAAGAAGGAAAACAAAGAAAACACAGCAGCAGCAGCAGCAGAAAAAGAAGTCGCTTTGTGGTTGGAGGGGAATCAATCTGTGTTCTCGAGCAAGGCGGGGTGCGGGGGAGGCGTGGCAGTGTAATAAATTTTAAAAACAAGTCATAAGAAAGTTGTCTTAATTGTGTCGAAGTTGGAATACTCTAGCAAACATCTTTTAAGATTAATATAGTAGTTCGATCTCGGCTGCTAATCAGTATCAGCCGGAATATCCGGAATATAAAAATAATGTATGTGATTACATCAATTTCACAAAACCATTATGCCCTTTTTACGCATTTTTACTGGGTTCAGGGTATATATATATACACAACTTTTATGCAAAAGAAACGGAAATAGGGATAAATTCTCTCGCATACAGTATATGTATGTGGATATATAAATATATACGTATTTCTATATATATATATATAATATATATATATGTACTTTTTGCTTGCTGCTTCGTCAGCGGATGAGAGATTTACAAATGTAGTTGCTTCTGATGATGTCTGGGTCTCTCTGGTCGTTTGTCTAAACGTCAGCTTCCTGTCGAGAAGCAGAGATTACTTGCACTTTATGCAGATTTGAGGCAAAGGTGTTCGCCCCCAGATCAACGTGTGCATATATATATATATATATATATATATATATATATATATATATATATATATATAGGTTGATTCTTGTGAATTTTAACTAAACTCATTGCCCTGCAAACGACAACTTCCTTTTTCCGTTTGCAACTTCCTTTTTGGTCATGCATTAAACAAGGGTCCCAACATAATTGTGGCCAAAAGGAAGTAACTGGTTAGTGAGTTAGCGTGCAACAACAGGAGACTTGCAACTGCTACAGCAGCTCCATCCCATCTCCATTTACCTCAATGCCAATTTTCATTTGATGCACTCTTAAATAAAGCAAAGCGTCACAATTTCAATCACAAACAGGCAGCAAACCAAATAAACCCAGCCCCCCAATGCCCAACCATCACACCTCTCTCTCTCTCTCTCGCGCTCTCTCTCAGCTATCTGTTGTCTGTTCTGTTCTTTCAACTGCTGCTCAACTGTTGCGTCTGTCGTCGTCACTCGACTGTACGTGCCGATCGATTTCCGGTCTGATTACGTTTTCTCATCCCCATCCCCACATGCATGATCATCTCAACTTCATCATCATCATCTTCTTCTTCATCTTCGTCTTCATCTTTCTCTGCCTGCCTGTTTGTCTGTTGTTTGGCTTCTCTGCTCGCGTGTTTATTGCTTTTCATCAGCGTCATCATCGATCGTTCATCATTCGACTGTTCGTTGATTGCCGTCGTTTGCCGCCCCGTTTTGACATTGCTTGCTTTTATTCAGCAGGCAGCACTTCTCTCGCGCACAGTTGGCCACACTTCAAAAAGCGTTTAATCTACGAGCGAAATTGTTGGCTTGCTTAACTTTAGACGCACTTTTAATAGTCGCATTAAAGTGGAAATTGTTAACAATTAGAAAACTACACACAGAAGAGTCTAACAACAATTAGATTAATTAATATATCGAGGTTATTGGCAGACTCGTTCAGAATACTCTATAGCGACAGTTAACAACCTTAACAGTCTTGTCTTTATTTATATTTGTATATTCTCTTCTTTTTTTTTGATTTGTTTTTACAACCGTCTGAAAGAAATTCTTTCTTGTTTTGGTTATCAATTTCATGTCTGGGCCAGCTCCTCAATAAAATAATCATGATGGCAATGAGTAACCACTTTTCTGCCTTGTCACTGCCGGTGGCAAGTTCGCCAGTTGCCTCCAGTTGAATCTGGTGCGGTTGCGGTTGCTGTACTTCATCGTCAGTCGACTCTTATT